AGGCGGGGAGGGGGGGGGGAGGTAAAAATCGTTAAAAAAGCGTGACGTCATTAATGGATGACCCCAAAGTATAATAAACCCACCAAAGTAAATCACCAACTATAGCAGAGTTTAAGCAGTTGAAAATCAACGGGGATAAACAAACAATAAATCATCAACACCATTTGTAGCAACAACAGGAGCAGTTAAAAATCAAGATAATTCCATTACTGCTTATAAGTTTACCTCATTCAATTCACTCACACACCGCGCATGCGCAAATAAAATATGGATGAAATCCGCTGTGCGGCGAACAAACAGAATTTAGCTTCAAAAAACAAAACAACGAACGTAGCGTTTAAATTGTGGCAATCCAATGAATTGGAATTTGTAATGAGATGAAATTCATAATGAGATGACATGATATATATTTTTTTGTTCTGCTAGGAAAAATGATGCAACGTAGAAAATCAATTTATCCGAGTCTATAGAGAAAAAAAAGACCGCAAAAAAAAAATCAATTTCTCTCAGCAAGAGAAATGTAAAATGTAACAAGACCATTCTCTAGAGACTGAGAGACGGATCAGGTGTGAGGTATCAATTTCTCCCTGGTCGGGGAGTTGTTCAGGTGTGAAGAATGAACTTCTCTGTGAAGATATCGGGTGTTAACAATCAACTTTTTAAATAATTGATCATTTTTAAAAACCAATTATAAAAGAATTGATTTTTTTTTTTTTAAAGAATCCATTTCTCGAAGAATTGACACGTTTTAAGAAGTAAGTTCTCAAAAGTAAGAATTGATTTCTAATTAAAAATCAACTTCTCTAAAAAATTAATTAATTGATAAGACTCTACTTCATCTGTTAAGCTTAGACATAACTGGGACTTTCGGGATCCCTAAGTTTAAAACATAAACCCCAGTAAAGTGATATGTCAGCCCCATATTCAGGCGGGCTGTAGGGGTCATCTCCACGACATCAATTTCTCACAGATACAAAAAGCCCATCTCTGGTTTATTAGGACTTCCAGAACCTTCTCTCAACAGAAAGGATGGCGGATAATAGAAAATCATTGCGTACAATCAAGGAACAAATATGCAGAAAAATGAGGAAAAAATAAAAGATAAGAATCGTCTTGGGAAAAGATGATGGAGGTTGGGGGAGGGGGAAGAGAAAGATGATAGAGGTGGGGGGGGGGGGGAATGATGAAGGCCACACATATGGAGACATGATGATAGAAAATTGTTTGGCCAAAACAAGATGGCGGTCTTGAAGTTCAAAACAATTTCAGATGGACGGGAACTCAGAACGAATTCACAAAACACAGCAGAGTCGAATCAAAGGAACTGATTTAAGTTTGATTCGCTATTCTTAATTAATCAATGGAAATAAAAAAAATCACATTGCAATTATTTTTGCATTTAAAATTTTTAATCAGCTATAAGCTTGGCTTTGAATATTGCAACTTGTAAAATATAATGCAATCCATTTTTATTGAGTTATATTATTTCTCATGTGCGGATTTAAAAAAAAATGGCGAGCATGTCAGGCATTAAAAGCAGCTACACTCGAATAAACTGACCCCTATCTCGCGTTTATGTTGCCATTTTTGTCCGTTTCTATAGCCCGTTATTGCCGACTCAATAGGCTATAGATTAAAAACAAACACCAGATTCTAGAAATCTTGCTGGGAATGTCGTGTTTTTGTCCCCACACTGCTCATAGCTCTATCCACCAAGTACGTGTCCGATTCCCTATTCTGTTTCAATCATTCGCCCTATACGCTTCGTGACTCCACAGTGTTGCCTGTGTTTGTTCGCGTGGTGCGCAATTTTCGGTGCCCCGCGGTGCAGTGCTGTTTGGTGGGGCGGAAAAACTGGGTATACCCGTTTTGTTGTTAACCGATGACATCACAACACGAACAAAAGAATTATTAATGAATTATTTATAGACGGCCGCAGTAAAACATTGAGGAATATCTAAACGTTGTGATGGAGAGGCGGGGTAGGGGGCGGGGGGCGGGCGGTCCCGTGGGGTATTTTAATCACCATTTCTGATAAAGAGCTATGGAGATAAAATCATCTAACTACCAAATGATGAGGCCTAATACAATTAGTGGCGAAATTCATGGACAGTGTTCAAATATTGATTGAACAAAGGGGGTAGACTTAACGTCTGCTGGAGGGGGAGAGAGAAAGAGGAGGAAAGAGAAGAGAATGAAAATGAGGTGAGAGTGAAATTCTATGCTGCGGTATTTTACTAGCGCCGGTGAGACCACAGGTTGACTTGAATAAAGTAAGGTAAAGTCAGATATGACTTAGGTATACGATATAAATGTTCAATGTGATAAAGTCAGATATGACTTAGGGTATACGGCATAAATGGACAGTAAGATGAAAGATGACTTGAGTTATACGGCAAATGCTGAAAGCTTGGTGATGTCAGATTATGACTTGAGTTATACGACATAAATGGAGAATGTAATCAAGTCAAATATGACTCGTATTATACAGCATAAATGGACAATGTAATAAGTCATATATGACTTGAATTATACGGCTGTTGAAAGTATGAATGAGTTATGCTAGAGACAATGATGGCACTTTACATAAATACATACATATTCATGTTGTGAGACATAATGCATTGTGAAGCGGCAGAAAAGGTTGAAGCTATATGTAATGAGAACATATGAACATAGATATTCTAGGGATATAGGCTATATGTAACAAGAACATATGAACATAGATATGCTATGGATATAGCCTATATGTAACAAGAACATATGAACATAGATATGTTAGGGAGATAGCTCTAACAGATATGTGTTTTATGGCAACAGACAGACTTGAGAATATACTCTGTGGGAACAAGAGACTGGCATTTTCTGGGAACAGACAGACTTTAGTATGTTGTATGAGACATACCAGACTTGGTTGAGGAACAGACATACCTGGGGTTCGTTGATAGGAAAAAAAAAAACGATAACGTATGTAATTTGAAGACTAGGAATTAACGGAAGTAATTAGCTACTTTCCTTATATTTAATACGTTTTATATTCCGCTGCCTGTATTTTAAAGATTTGCCGCTTTTTAACGCCTATCTTATACATCCTATACTATTTAAACTGTCTACAATTCTCCTAGTTAAATATAAACTGAAACAAATCGCATTTCGACGGGGGGCGTTTTGTCCCGGGTCGTTTTGACGGTGCACCAGATCCTATACTATTTATATTGTTTACAGTTCTCCTAGTTAAATTTGAACTTAAACAAATCACGTTTTGACGGTCTAACATTTAGCAACAAAATCTGACACAAGTTCAAAGGTCATTCCCCCCCCCCCCCTTTAAATCTACGCCTTCTCATAACCATTAGCAAGTACGCCACAGTATTGTTCACTAAATGTAAAATAATATTTAAAAAAGCAATTTGTCACAACCCTCACATTGATATGTTCGTGAGTAGAGGTTTTACAGCACGGGGTAAAGGTCAGCGAGTTAGACCGTAGATAAACGGACACGAAACGACAGGCAAATGTTCACCAAGGGGGCGGTGACCGCTGTTGATTGAAAGGTCACGGTCAGCCGTTTTGACGGCTTCATTACTATCATTGGCTACTGATATCAAGTTCCGCCATTTTGTGAGGTTCTGTCAATGTGAATTATCACACGAGAAATGATGAATTTGTAGTTTTATATCAGCGTGAATTATCTCACAAGAAATGATAAATTGTAGTATTATATCAGCGTGAATTATCACACAAAAGATGATAAAATTGTAGTATTATATCAGCGTGAATTATCACACAAAAGATGATAAAATTGTGATAATCCACCAATGTGAATTATTATACAAGAAATGGTGAAATTGTAGTTTTATATCAACGTGAATTATCACACAAGAATTGATAAAATGTTAATATTATATCAGCGTGAATTATCACACAAAAAATGACAAAATTGTGATATTCCATCAATGTGAATTATCACACAAGAATTGACGAAACTGTAATATTCCATCGGCCGGAATTATCATACAAGAAATGGAAATAAAAACAAAACGTCATACGTCATGAAGTTGACCATGAAAACTATCATACTTATATTTTAGGATAATTTTGAGACTTTTCAGATGTCACTAAAGTAAAGGGGGGTAATTACAGCGTAGATGAATTTTCTTCAAATAAAGGGAATAAAGGGAAATAACAGGTCTTCACAAACTATTAGAGCAAATTATTCTAGGCGGGAAATTTTTAAACCGGGGCTAAGGGGAGGCAATGCGGATGTCTAAATGTCAGCTAGATTAGATACTGGATAAATGCCCAAATTATAGAATGGCACGGACAAGGATTGGGTGGCCTGACTCTCACGATTCTATTTTTAGAAATATTATTTTGTAAATCAAAATCGGTGTATAAAAGAGATTGTTTTTTTTTTCAAAATAAGCCAACAGAAACATGCAAGGGAGACAAATCCGCGAAGCGTTTACTATTCGATAACAATCCATTATGCCAGTTGTTAATTTTCTATTTCTGATGACCTTGTAAATTATTCGCCTATAGAGTTTCAGAAGGATTTAGTAATAGCATCAACAAAGCAGTAGAAATTATTACTTTAAAACATAAAATATCGCTTTTATTAGATTGTTTTATTGTTAACCTGAGAAACTAAGCTAGTGGCGTCGATTATTTTTATTGGTGTTAACATGGATTTTAATAACTAAATCCCAACCTAACCCATTGCCCAATTTTCGATTATACAAAGTAGAGCTCAATATAAATCTATTTATAGATGAAAACCGGAAGTAAACACATGTAGCCACAGTGACCCCAGGCGGGGCTTAGCCCAAAATCGCTAGGGAGATACGGGATAATGGAATATTCTCGAAATCATAACGTAGATTTGTGGAATATGGAATATCTATAAACATCCGAAGTCACGGCAAAAATTGATCTTATAGAAGTCATGAGAAAAGTGAATTTGATAGGAGGCATGACATCAAAAGAACTGACAGAATGTCATGACATCAATAGATCTGACAGAAGTCAAGACATCAATAGATCTGACAGAAGTCATGACATCAATAGATCTGACAGAAGTCAAGACATCAATAGATCTGACCGAAGTCATGACATCAATAGATCTAACAGAAGTCATGACATCAATAGATCTGATAGGTCATGACATCAATAGATCTGACAGAAGTCATGACATCAATAGATTTGATAGAAGTCATGACATCAATAGATCTGACAGAAGTCATGACATCAATAGATCTGACAGAAGTCATGACATCAATAGATCTGACAGAAGTCATGACATCAATAGATCTGACAGAAGTCATGACATCAATAGATCTGACAGAAGTCATGACATCAATAGATCTGACAGAAGTCATGACATCAATAGATCTGACAGAAGTCATGACATCAATAGATCTGACAGAAGTCATGACATCAATAGATCTGATAGAAGTCATGACATCAATAGATCTGACAGAAGTCATGACATCAATAGATCTGACAGAAGTCATGACATCAATAGATCTGACAGAAGTCATGACATCAATAGATCTGACAGAAGTCATGACATCAATAGATCTGACAGAAGTCATGACATCAATAGATCTGACAGAAGTCATGACATCAATAAATCTGACAGAAGTCATGACATCAATAGATCTGACAGAAGTCATGACATCAATAGATCTGACAGAAGTCATGACATCAATAGATCTGACAGAAGTCATGACATCAATAGATCTGACAGAAGTCATGACATCAATAGATCTGACAGAAGTCATGACATCAATAGATCTGACAGAAGTCATGACATCAATAGATCTGACAGAAGTCATGACATTAATAGATCTGACAGAAGTCATGACATCAATAGATCTGATAGAAGTCATGACATCAATAGATCTGACAGAAGTCATGACATCAATAGATCTGACAGAAGTCATGACATCAATAGATCTGACACAAGTCATGACATCAATAGATCTGACAGAAGTCATGACATCAATAGATCTGACAGAAGTCATGACATCAATAGATTTGATAGAAGTCATGACATCAATAGATCTGACAGAAGTCATGACATCAATAGATCTGACAGAAGTCATGACATCAATAGATCTGACAGAAGTCATGACATCAATAGATCTGACAGAAGTCATGACATCAATAGATCTGACAGAAGTCATGACATCAATAGATCTGATAGAAGTCATGACATCAATAGATCTGACAGAAGTCATGACATCAATAGATCTGACAGAAGTCATGACATCAATAGATCTGACAGAAGTCATGACATCAATAGATCTGACAGAAGTCATGACATCAATAGATCTGACAGAAGTCATGACATCAATAGATCTGACAGAAGTCATGACATCAATAGATCTGACAGAAGTCATAGCAACATCAAAAAGAAGTCATGACAACAGTGGATCTATCATAAGTCAAGATAACGGTACATAAAAAAAGAAAAAAATATCACCCACAAAAAAAAAAAAATAAACCTAATCTATCTTTCGTACATTTGATCAGCGCTGCCTTAACCAGCTGATAGCTCAGTGCGATTCGTCCAACTATTGCACATAAATCCTCGGTCGTAGCTGACAATATCGCACATAAAACCAGTGGTTTACCCAAATATCAATTGTGTTAACGGTGCTAGACGGGGGTTTGGCTACATCCTAGGGAACTCCAACCTCTGTATGATCTTAGGCTCGTTAAAATAGTTCGTATTTTATCGTAAGTGATGAAAAATTCGTATTTTATCACGTCGTAAGTAATAATGTTGTACAAATTACACTTTACAGCTATTGTAATTAACAGTATATACATAACACTTTACAGCTATTGGAATTAATGTTGAACACATTTCACATTACAGCTATTGGAATTAATGTTGTACACATTTCACATTACAGCTTTTGGAATTAATGTTGTACACATTTCACATTACAGCTAGTGGAATTAATGTTGAACACAATTCACATGACAGCTAGTGGAATTAATGTTATACGTTAAAGCTCGAGCTATTGTGGAGCTGTGTGGCCGAGAGATAGAGTGCCTATCCATTAGCCCGACGTCCACGAATCAACAGAGCTCTGATGGTTACCTGATTGTAGGAGACACTGAGCTTCTTCAGCTCTGGTGACGTCATGATTCCCCACCCCCACGCTCTGGTGGGTACCTGACTGTTGCGACATGAGCTCCACCCATCTCTGGTGGATACCCATCAGTGACGTCATGAGTCCCCACCCCACCCATCCCCCACCCCCACCCCCGCTCTGGTGGGTACCTGACAGTTGCGACATGAGTTCCACCCAGCTCTGTTGGGTACCAATCCGTGACGTCATGAGTCCCCACCCCCGCTCTGGTGGGTACCTGACTATTACGACATGATTATCCCCCCCCCCCCCACCTCTACTAGGTACCTGACTAAGACAATGATTCAGCCTGCACTCTTGTGTAATGACCGTGACGTCTAGAAGTTTTGTAATAAAAATCACGATTGAGAAACGCACAGAATGCTCAATTTAAATAACAAATAAAAATAACAACTATGAAAAAAAATTCGAAACTAGCAAAAATAGATAAGGTATTTAATTAAATTAATTATGTGTTTGGAATAGGGATGGTGGATAGGTGGGGTGAATATCATCCCTCTCCCCCAATCATCATCAAAAATGTTCGCATGCAAGACTTCCCCTAACCAACCCGCCCCTGGTTGTTATCTATCCCATATATGGCTGCTGCATCTATCACACGACCAGAAATACACCACCCCTACCCTTCCCATCGACCATTACCCCCCCCCCCCAGGTTAATCCCACCCTAAACTCCCGAGTCCCAATACCCTTATGTAACCAGACAAGAAACGACCCCCTGTTGGCGAGGAGACCTCTTAAAGCTACATTCTCCATCATTTCCCATATGTTTAGACGAAATTACGCAGTTCCAAGCAACAACATTTCAAGTATTAATAGTAAGCCTGCGGTTTGCTTTTCCCCTTCTAACTCCCACCGATATTAATAAAACATGACGGAGTTATCGCTCTTACGACTTTCATAAGTTCTTCTTCAGCCAAGAAAAAAAAAAAAAGAAACACCCGCTCTGCTCGCTTTGGGAGAAAATTACCGGGCAAGATATTCAAATGATTTCTTTACCGTGCGTGTAATATTTCACTGTTACCGGGGGCATCGTTTAATAACCTTTACTTTTCTGCATTAATTACAAGACTAACATAAAAGATCAATATATCTCCAAGACTAAATAGAAATGCCACAGTGGAGGGGGGGGGGGTATCATTTGCATCCTGAGATTCCGAAGCACGCGAGAGTCCGTTTCTGTGGCGGTGATTTATCGACGAGACGAGCGAGGAGAATGGGAGAGTTTTCATCTACATACATTTCACAAGCCACCGTTTTAATAGAATGTTGGGGGGGGATGCTAATGGCCCCTAGCAGGACAGGCAAGCATTTCTCTGGTATTGTCTGGAAATAATCAAGGCAATGGGCGTCTTTTTACATACGAAATTGGCAGACATCGCGGTTTCCGGGAGGGGAAATGTTTAGTGAGGGCTGCGACAAAAACAAGGGGACTGTTGGGAACTATCAGGGGAGAGTTAATGTTCTTTGGTATTATGCAGGGGAGAGATACCTTTCCTTGTTCTTAGGGGAGAGATAACTTCCATTGTTTTAAGTAGAATGATAACTTCCCTTGCTTTAAGTGAAATTATGTCCCTTGTTTTAAGGAGAATGATAATTTCCCTTATTTTAAGTAGCTCGTTTTAAGGGAAAATATAATGTCCCTTATTTCTAGGGGAGATAACTTCGTTTGTTTTAAAGAAAAACATAACCATTGTTCTTAAGAGCTATTTAGCGTCCCTTGTTTTAAGGGAAGCGATAACTTTCCTTGTTTTAAGAGAAGAGATAATGTCCCTAGTTTTTAAAAGAAGAGATAACGTCCCTTGTTTTCACGAGAGAGATAACCTTCCTTGTTTATAATAGAATGATAATTTCCCTTTTTTTTCGTGTTAAGGAAGGATAGCTAGCCTATTGTAATATCAGGGAGAGAGGACTATCATTTTTTTTACGAACAAAAAAATACTATTCTTGGTATTGCTTAACTATTTTGTTTAGTTGTCAATATCTAAATGCTACAGGCATAGCGAGTTCTTTAAAGTTGAGCTCATCTATTCTGCGACAATGGAATTACAAACATATAGTGAGGTCTGTACGGCACCCAGTCGGTTTTAGCTTCTCCTTCTCTTTACTTTCTCATTTGTAATTCAGATCTCTTGGTAGGGTACAGGGGACGGTGTGGGCTTTCGTTAGAGCGCTAAACTGCTAAACCTCCGAAAGTCTTGAGTTCGAACCCGAATTCAAGTCAGTAGAACGTCCCTGAGTTCACCCAGCTCTGATGGGTACCTAACTCGTGTTAGGAAAAGTAAAGCCAGTTTTGCATAGTACTGGTCACAAAATCCCTTCATATGCCGAGGTAACAGAAACAGGTGCACTCTACTTCACGTTCCCCATGGACCGTCAGACTCGAATGGTACATATATAATGTATCTTACTACTAAACGATGATATTCATAGACGACCACATACAATATTAAATTATATAACAAATCAGAACCTCCTCTCAGAAACAACACAACCTTTACTTCGAGTCTAATGAAGCCGCTCACGAAATGTGCTTTTTAACTACACATCGGTTTATGTAAGTCTTCGTATAATCAAACTTTAAACAGGAAACATGGAGCTCTTGACCACCTCTACCCTGCCCATATAATACAGTTAACAAAATAATCCCTCCCCCCTCCCCCCCCCCCCCATCCATTTAGATGACCTCCTAGCAAATTGGACGAAAAAAACAAATATTCGATAGTTTATTGCGCAACACGCATATATTCGGTGTTTCAGGTTAAAACAACTATTTGTAACAGTAAAATGTAAATATTTACAACAATAACCAAACGTTATATTAGATGGCAGATAAACCATTAACAACAGTAGCAAAATGTTATATTCCATTATATTCCCAGCCCCTTATTTCTCACTGTATGTCCAAGAGCACACAATCCTGGGCAAAAAAAAGCTACCCAGTCCTAGTGGTCAGTTAGCTGCCCACTAAGCAGCATATATTACTAAGCAGTATATATTACTTTGTATATTTTGTTTTATAGAGCAACCCCCTCACAAAATATTCAGCACAATAAAAGTTACTGAAAGACGATGTACGTCTGATGTCCGTAACTCACGTAGATTTAATGTCAAGATCATTGGACAAAGTGACATTACTAGTTGACTACTGACCACTGAATGAAACCTCATTACTAGCTAAGTCTACTGACTGTTTGATGTAGCTACACTAATAGCAAGTCCACTAGCCACACAATGAAGCCTCAATGAAGATCCACTGGCCAGTTGGTGAAGCCCCACTACTAGCAGGTGTACGGACCACTGAATGAAGCCCCACCACTAGCAGGTGTACGGGCCACTGAATGAAGCCCCACATTAAATCTCGAGAATTTCAACGCCTTCACCAACTGCATCCTTTCTCTCTCATTTTTTTTTCTTTAAAACCGTCCAAATTCATATAAGAACACAGCTGAAATCCAACAACCAAAACATAGAACACAATTAAAACATCCCTGATAAGAACAGAACTAAAACATCTCTAATAAGAAGTGTGGCGTAGCCAGGATCGTCTCAAGGGGAGGGGGGGGGGTTCCAATTTTTACCCGGGGACAAACTTTCGATTTGCACCCCCCTCAGACTTTTGATTTGCAGCCCCCCCCCCCCTCAAACTTTCGATTTGCAACCCGCACCCCCCCCCCCCCCAAACTTTCGATTTGCACCCCCCTCAAACTTTCGATTTTAACCCCCCTCATACTTTATATATATACCGAGGGGTCTATGATGGGGGGGGGGGTATGATCCCCTGCCTACGCCACTGAATAAGAACACAACTACAACATCTCTGATAAGAACACAACTAAAACATCTCTAATAAGAATACACCTAAAACATGCTTGATAAAAACACAGCTAAAACATCTCTAATAAAAACACAACTAAAACATCTCAAATAAGAACACAACTAAAACATAAAACACAACTAAAACATCTCTAATAAGAACACAACTAAAACATCTCTGATAAGAACAGAACTCAAACCTTACAACTAATACATCTCTGTAACCCCCAACGTCTAAAACTCCCCCTAGAAAAAAACGAACACGGCCGTTAATCTTGAAACAGATCAATACAAGTTCTCAGTGAGAAGCTTCCCTAGGAAGTCAGTCATGAAGTCGTTGAGGGCATACCCATTCAACTCAAAATCCTCATCTAAAACAACAGGCATCCGTTTCTAAAGACATGTCTGCACTAATTGTTAATCTAATTAAATAGTACTTAATTAAAACTTCTTTGCGACGTAAATAATTATCTAACTTGTCTGAGGTGTTTCTTTGTTATATCATCAACAACATTAACAAATTGTTACACTATGTTACATCATTAACAACAATAACAAATTGTTACACTATGTTACATCATTAACAACAATAACAAATTGTTACACTATGTTACACCATTAGTAACATTAACAAATTGTTACACTATGTTACATCATTAGTAGCATTAACAAATTGTTACACTGTGTTGCATCATTAGTAACATTAACAAATTGTTACACTATGTTACATTATTAGTAGCATTAACAAATTGTTACACTGTGTTGCATCATTAGTAACATTAACAAATTGTTACACTGTGTTACATCATTAGTAACATTAACAAATTCTTACACTGTGTTACATCATTAGTAACATTAACAAATTGTTACACTATGTTACATCATTAGTAGCAGTAACAAATTGTTACACTGTTACATCATTAGTAACATAAACAAATTGTTACACTGTGTTACATTATTAGTAACAATAACAAATTGCTACACTATGTTACATCATTAGTAACATTAACTAATTATTACACTGTTACATCATTAGTAACATTAACAAATTGTTACACTGTTACATCATTAGTAACATTAACAAATTGTTACACTGTGTTACATCATTAGTAACATTAACAAATTGTTACGCTCCACACATTAATATCCCATCGCTTGTCTGATATAATTGTTACTATGTCATTCAGCTGAGTAGTTCGGGTCTATTCCCTATTGCAGATAAATATTTTGTACAAATTATAATTTATACACCCAGCGATGCCAAAAGTATAGTTATACTTTGCTATAAATTATAAATATTTGAATTTTTTTTAATTTATAGAATACATTTTCTATGAATTAAAATGATTTTAAATTAAACGAAAGAGGAGAATTGCACAAATTATTGTCAATACGTGTTATATTAAAATTAATAGCCTTTCCGCTAAATTGATCAAATTGTGTTCATGCGTTTTTATCAACTTTTTGTTATTCCGATACTTAGTCGTGTGTTTCAGGTATAAACAAAATCGCTATGACTAAGCTTGCTGTATTTACACCATTATAGATAAAGATACGAACTTTAATTACGGATACTAAACGATTGTTTTTCATCTCATCTCAAGGTTTTCGCTTAAAATACTAAAAAAAAAACAAAAAATTAAAATATCAACAAAAATATCCGCGAAGAAGCGTGCCACAGGGGAGGCGTAGGGTACTCAATAACAGCACGAGCCGCTAGATATGAATCTGGTGTTAAGACCTTTACATCCTGTTGTTTTCCAGTGAACGTCAGCACAAACAGGAAGTAGCTATTTGGTTATTTGATCACGTGACGATGGCGATACTCCACGGGTGGATTCAGTTTGTGTGGGGCCCTAGCACGGGTGGATTCAGTTTGTGTGGGCCCTAGCACGGGTGGATTCAGTTTGTGTGGGGGCACGGGTGGATTCAGTTTGTGTGGGGGCACGGGTGGATTCAGTTTGTGTGGGGCTCTAGCAAGGGTGGATTCAGTTTGTGTGGGGCCCCTAGCACGGGTGGATTCAGTTTGTGTGGGGGCACGGGTGGATTCAGTTTGTGTGGGGCTCTAGCAAGGGTGGATTCAGTTTGTGTGGGCCCCTAGCACGGGTGGATTCAGTTTGTGTGGGCCTCTAGCACGGGTGGATTCAGTTTGTGTGGGGCCCCTAGCACGGGTGGATTCAGTTTGTGTGGGCCTCTAGCACGGGTGGATTCAGTTTGTGTGGGCCTCTAGCACGGGTGGATTCAGTTTGTGTGGGCCCCTAGCACGGGTGGATTCAGTTTGTGTGGGCCTCTAGCACGGGTGGATTCAGTTTGTGTGGGGCACGGGTGGATTCAGTTTGTGTGGGGCTCTAGCAAGGGTGGATTCAGTTTGTGTGGGGCCCCTAGCACGGGTGGATTCAGTTTGTGTGGAGCACGGGTGGATTCAGTTTGTGTGGGGCCCCTAGCACGGGTGGATTCAGTTTGTGTGGGCCTCTAGCACGGGTGGATTCAGTTTGTGTGGGCCTCTAGCACGGGTGGATTCAGTTTGTGTGGGCCCCTAGCACGGGTGGATTCAGTTTGTGTGGGCCTCTAGCACGGGTGGATTCAGTTTGTGTGGGGCACGGGTGGATTCAGTTTGTGTGGGGCCCCTAGCACGGGTGGATTCAGTTTGTGTGGGGCCCCTAGCACGGGTGGATTCAGTTTGTGTGGGCCCTAGCACGGGTGGATTCAGTTTGTGTGGGGGCACGGGTGGATTCAGTTTGTGTGGGGCTCTAGCAAGGGTGGATTCAGTTTGTGTGGGGCCCCTAGCACGGGTGGATTCAGTTTGTGTGGAGCACGGGTGGATTCAGTTTGTGTGGGGCCCCTAGCACGGGTGGATTCAGTTTGTGTGGGCCCCTAGCACGGGTGGATTCAGTTTGTGTGGGCCCCTAGCACGGGTGGATTCAGTTTGTGCGGGGCACGAGTGGATTCAGATTGTTTGGGGCACGGGTGGATTCAGTTTGTGTGGGCCCCTAGCACGGGTGGATTCAGTTTGTGTGGGACACGGGTGGATTCAGATTGTGTGGGGCCCCTTGCACGGGTGGATTCAGTTTGTGTGGGGCCCCTAGCACGGGTGGATTCAGTTTGTGTGGGGCACGGGTGGATTCAGTTTGTGCGGGGCACGGGTGGATTCAGATTGTGTGGGGCCCCTAGCACGGGTGGATTCAGTTTGTGTGGGGCCCCTAGCACGGGTGGATTCAGTTTTTGTAGGGCCCCTAGCACGGGTGGATTCAGTTTTTGTAGGGCCCCTAGCACGGGTGGATTCAGTTTGTGTGGGGTTCCTAGCATTTGTGGGGCACGGGTGGATTAAGTTTGTGTGGGGCACGGGTGGATTCAGTTTGTGTGGGCCCCTAGCACGGGTGGATTCAGTTTGTGTGGGGCACGGGTGGATTCAGTTTGTGTGGGGGCCCTAGCACGGGTGGATTCAGTTTGTGTGGGGCACGGGTGGATTCAGTTTGTGTGGGGGCCCTAGCACGGGTGGATTCAGTTTGTGTGGGGGCCCTAGCACGGGTGGATTCAGTTTGTGTGGGGGCCCTAGCACGGGTGGATTAAGTTTGTGTGGGGGCCCTAGCACGGGTGGATTCAGTTTGTGTGGGCCCCTAGCACGGGTGGATTCAGTTTGTGTGGGCCCCTAGCACGGGTGGATTCAGTTTGTGTGGGCCCCTAGCACGGGTGGATTCAGTTTGTGTGGGGGCCCTAGCACGGGTGGATTCAGTTTGTGTGGGGCCCCTAGCACGGGTGGATTCAGTTTGTGTGGGGGCCCTAGCACGGGTGGATTCAGTTTGTGTGGGGCCCCTAGCATTTGTGGGGCACGGGTGGATTAAGTTTGTGTGGGGTTCCTAGCACTGGTGGATTCAGTTTGTGTGGGGCTCAGGTGGATTCAGTTTGTGTGGGGCCCCTAGCACGGGTGGATTCAGTTTGTGTGGGGCCCCTAGCACGGGTGGATTCAGTTTGTGTGGGGCCCCTAGCACGTATGGATTCAGTTTATGTGGGACCCCTAACACGATTTATGCGGGACCCCTGTTAGACGCAAACTATCCGGAACCATTTGACTATTAACACCCGAACGTATATCTTGGTATATCTTTAAGACTGCATTATAAAGGAACTGGAGATCGTTGCCCTGTTTGTCTCATACTTGATCTGACACGTAGGCCTACTGCACGCTACAAGTCTTTTATATACAGCCATGTGTGTTGTATATTATTTATTCATTACGCATTATTGAACAAAATAATGTAAACTGATTGTTAAATGGAACAGGATTTTAAGACATTTAATTTGCTGGAACATTAGCAGCATTGGTTATATTTTTAATGGTTCTTTCAATATATTTTTCAAAAATGAAAACATTATTTAATCCCAGTTAATTTTTGACCAATTATTTTGTAAACACATTATTACATGGATCAAAATTTAAAGACAGTTTACACACTAGATAGATCTAGCTGATATTAGCATCGTGGATTACGATAACTATTAAATGAAACTGTTAATTAAGAAACAATAAATTTACTATGTAGTTGGCATTTGCATGATGGATTACGGTAATTATTAAATGAAACTGTTAATTAAAAAACAATAAATTTACAAGGTAGTTGGCATTTGCATGATGGATTACGGTAATTATTAAATGAAACTGTTAATTAAGAAACAATAAATTTACTAGGTAGTTGGCATTTGCATGATAGATTACGGTAATTATTAAATGGAACTGTTAAATTAGAAACAATAAATGTACTAGGTAGTTAGCATTTGCATGATGGATTACGGTAATTATAAAATGGAACTGTTAATTAAGAAACAATCAGCTTACCAGGTAGTTAAACGATAGAACCCCTCATGAAGGACTGACAACTACGGCAGAGTTGCCTCTTGAAGAATCTCCGCCTCACCTGTCCCTCCCCCCTCGCACGCACAGAGCAGGTGTTTTTCATGTCATAATTCCTTCATTGCTCAACCAAGCTGACCTTTGGTAGTCGGCGCCAAAGTGGTCTAAAACTGCTATGTTCTACCGTTCCCTCTGGATTGTTTGACTGTAAGCTCGGCTACTCGAATCAGACGAAAGATATGAACCGTGAAAGAAAGAAAAAAATAAGCGGAGCTAGGAGTGTTTGTGGGACTTGGAGTGTTATATTAAAAAAAAATATACAGCGTAAAATAAAAGAGTTGAAGCGTGACGACTGTCCCAGATTCTTGCATTTGGAGCTGACTTTTGATCGGTTGCATTGCTTCATGTTTAACTGTCTTTGTTTTGGGTTGTTTGTAGGAAGAAGAAACTATAATCCTCAAACAAAGTGGGTGTTTGTAGCTTGTGAAATTTCTACTAATTTGGTACTTTTTGTCTGGAAGTTTGGGATGCGTAGGCGGAACAGATAGCTTGGGGGGGGGGGGGGGGGGGTTAGGGAGTTAAGGGTGGGGTGAGAAATTGAAAAAGTGAAGAAATTGGGTAAGACTTGGAAAATTGAGTGGGTTTATTTGTTTTAAAATTGTTTTTTTTTTTCTTGTTGTTTTTAGCAACCTTGATATCAGGAAGAATATTGCATTTAAATATTGCAGTTTTATAATTCTAGCATTTCTTCATGCATGTCCCGAGCCTTAGCCGGACAGTACGGTAACATCAATAAAACTGACGACGATCTATGAGCTGCAAGGGACAACTGACTGAAAATAACAATTCTATGCGTTACAATATTTTCTGTAAACAACAGCCCAAGCTAAACGACAGACCGACAAAGCCTAACCGCCGTCTTCATTACCTCATCTTAACATACATCCCGTGCCGCATTAGTATTGAAAATCAAACGCATAAACTGATGACGTCATTCTGCAAATTACAAAATATATCCGCTGTTTCTTTTAGGTCGTTTTGATTCACAGCCTGTTTATTTAATTTTTTTTTACACAAACATATTAAAATATCTCATTAAAGAATACATTGTGATTCTCTCTTTTACGCTAACATATATCCCTCTCCCACATTCAATTATTTAGCTTAAGTCCCCTGTTCTTTTACCAGTGCCCCCCCCCCCTCCACCGATTAATACCAAAGCCCCTTAATCAGTGGCGTCGCTAGGTCGGGTGTCACCCGGTACGACACCTAATGGTCTCACCCCCCCCCCCCCCGAAGGTCCACATAGGTCTATATATAGTTGCGATTGGTGTCACCCCACTCCCATTTTGCTTAATGTCGCCAATTTGTAGTTGATTGACTTATCAGTTATTCCAAATACTCAACAAAACCAAACCTTCTTTCCACTGTAAATTTTGCAGTATTGTGTCACCCGGTGCGGTCTGCACCCCCCCCCCCCCCCCCGCCCCCACCTCGCGACGCCTCTGCCCTTAATTGATTTTACATATGACCAAAATGAATAAAGCATATTAAAAAAATATCTTTTTATGTTCCAAATTTCTAGTTTTATCATTACGCTTCAATGGCCGCAGGAGGCGACATCTAATACGACTTACATAAAACACTGGAAAGTCTTTCTGGAAATACATGGTCTCAGATTATATGTTATTTATTGCTAATAATAGTGAATCGATATCATGTTCTAGATGTATTGGTTGTTATTTGCTAATAATAATGTATCGATATCGTGTTATTGATGTATTGGTTGTTATTTGCTAATAATAATGTATCGATATCGTGTTATTGATGTATTGGTTGTTATTTGCTAATAATAATGTATCGATATCATGTTCTTGATGTATTGGTTGTTATTTGCTAATAATAATGTATCGATATCGTGTTCTTGATGTATTGATTTTTTAAAATGAATACAACACGCTAAATCTCTTTTATTGATTAAAAATCGATCATATTTTTGTTGAATTAAAAGACCCCAGTGAAAAACCAAGGGAAGTAAATACAACCGTCTGCCTATGCATTGCAATAAATTTAAGCTACAAATGAATGGATCAACATGTTTTGATTTTTACTTTTATAAAATTCACCAGTTTAAAACAAATTATAGGCCCTGCTTGCTTGTGTTCTACGTGTGTTTTTAAAGTTTCTGATTCAACAACGTGTCGCAGTCAAGGCTTTTGATACGTGTAATTTACACAGGCAGTGGCGTGGGAAGGATTGTGATAATTACAACGTTATGGGGTGGGAGTCGTCCATTTTTTTGTTATAGGCATATATATATATATATATATATATATATATATATATATATATATATATATATATATATATATATGAGAGAGAGCGTAACGGATAATAGCTATAAATTAACGTCAAACAGCTGTTAATTAGGAGAGCCATTGGGGAGTGTGTGTGTTGGGGGGGGGGGGGGGACCAATGCATGCAGGCACCGATATGTTTATGTCAACTGATGAGGTGTTCAACTCCAGATATAAATAACCAACACTGACCGTAATAGCAGCTAGATGAATTCGTCGAAATGTGTAGCTACGCTGGTGTTAGGGTCAGGGAGGCATACGTCAATTATGTCAGGTAAATTTTAGGTCATTTTTCTAACGTCTCATATTTTCACAATAAAGCGTACACATCGATATACGTTATTTTTAAACTATGGCACAATGATACTTCAAATTATAAAAACGAGGACGTGTTTGTATTACTTAACAAGTATTATTGACATATCTAGCTCCACATAAAACAGAAGTACCATTTGTAAGGATTTGAAAATGGCATGGTAATTATCTCACTAATCACGGACAACGTAATTAGCATAAATACTAATAATTATTTATGTGCTTCACAGTGTCACTCACCGGCGTTAATTTATTATACAATTCTCAAAACAAATGTTCGTAACCGATGAATTCAATGCATCAATAAGTTTTGTAGTTTTAATTGTAGAAAAATTGTATTGTGAAATAAATTGTGATTTTACTTTGAATATAAAACTTTTAAAATACGTTTTAAAATTCTGAATTTGCATCTTTTTATATATAAAATTAAAAATATATTTACAAGTTTATCGAGAAAAAATATAAACTCTACTCACACATGTAACTGCCGTTTTTTCTGACTCGCTCGAGCAGCCCTCACTCTCAGCCTTGGCGTCTGTTGTCTCCCCTCTTCCCATACGCCACACCACCAGCAGGGACAAAGTGATGGCCGGTAGCGCCGGCTCGCGGACAACAAAAAGCTTTATCCTCAATTGGTCAATGTGTTATCGTTTCCTCTCAAAACCATTGCATTGTTTTCATCGATGCAATCTTCTCTCCCACCGTAATGGAAATGTTACATTCATTTTATGATAACTTTATGATCGTTTATATCAATAGGCAGCTAAACATTGTAACCGCGTTAAATTAGAGTGGCTATCGACTTAGAGGTTGTTGTTTGTTTTTTTTTTAATTAGCCGTGAACATGTTCGAAACCGCCAATGTAGTTAGCATTTTATGTATGAGGGTTAAGATAATTGAAAAAAAAACCCAAAGATAGTACATGATTGATTGCCGAGAATATTCGTATAACCAGAATTGACCAGATACAGCGTTTCTTTCAGACTTTTGAAACATTCGGGGCGGGGGCGGAGACTGGTAAAAGTATATATTTCCTTTATAAATTCGTTCGGGGAGAGGGGGGGGGTCTGCAGCCCCGGAAGAGATGCGAAAAAGAAACTCTGACCAGATATAAACTTGCCAACGTTAACGTACAGTCTTGATTCAAGATCTCTATTCTTGGTCCCATATCTCACAGTCTTGGTCCCATATCTCACAGTCTTGGTCCCATATTTCACAGTCTTGGTCCCATATCTCACAGTCTTGGTCCCATATCTCACAGTCTTGGTCCCATATCTCACAGTCTTGGTCCCATATTTCACAGTCTTGGTCCCATATTTCACAGTCTTGGTCCCATATCTCACAGTCTTGGCCCCATATCTCACAGTCTTGGTCCCATCTCTCACAGTCTTGGTCCCATATCTCACAGTCTTGGTCCCATCTCTCACAGTCTTGGTCCCATATCTCACAGTCTTGGTCCCATATCTCACAGTCTTGGTCCCATATCTCACAGTCTTGGTCCCATATCTCACAGTCTTGGTCCCATATCTCACAGTCTTGGTCCCATATCTCATAGTCTTGGTCCCATATCTCACAGTCTTGGTCCCATATCTCACAGTCTTGGTCCCATATCTCACAGTCTTGGTCCCATATTTCACAGTCTTGGTCCCATATCTCACAGTCTTGGTCCCATATCTCACAGTCTTGGTCCCATATCTCACAGTCTTGGTCCCATATTTCACAGTCTTGGTCCCATATCTCACAGTCTTGGTCCCATATCTCACAGTCTTGGTCCCATATCTCACAGTCTTGGTCCCATCTCTCACAGTCTTGGTCCCATATCTCACAGTCTTGGTCCCATATCTCACAGTCTTGGTCCCATATCTCACAGTCTTGGTCCCATATCTCACAGTCTTGGTCCCATATCTCATAGTCTTGGTCCCATATCTCACAGTCTTGGTCCCATATCTCACAGTCTTGGTCCCATATCTCACAGTCTTGGTCCCATATTTCACAGTCTTGGTCCCATATCTCACAGTCTTGGTCCCATATCTCACAGTCTTGGTCCCATATCTCACAGTCTTGGTCCCATATTTCACAGTCTTGGTCCCATATTTCACAGTCTTGGTCCCATATCTCACAGTCTTGGCCCCATATCTCACAGTCTTGGTCCCATCTCTCACAGTCTTGGTCCCATATCTCACAGTCTTGGTCCCATCTCTCACAGTCTTGGTCCCATATCTCACAGTCTTGGTCCCATATCTCACAGTCTTGGTCCCATATCTCACAGTCTTGGTCCCATATCTCACAGTCTTGGTCCCATATTTCACAGTCTTGGTCCCATATCTCACAGTCTTGGTCCCATATCTCACAGTCTTGGTCCCATATCTCACAGTCTTGGTCCCATATTTCACAGTCTTGGTCCCATATCTCACAGTCTTGGTCCCATATCTCACAGTCTTGGTCCCATATCTCACAGTCTTGGTCCCATATTTCACAGTCTTGGTCCCATATTTCACAGTCTTGGTCCCATATCTCACAGTCTTGGTCTCATATCTCACAGTCTTGGTCTCAGCTCTCAACCTTGACTCCTGTTTTCGGAGCAACCACACCTCGCCCTCTCTACCAGCCCTGATGTCTCCCCCCCCCCCCTCTTCCTATAACACAACCACCCTCCTAGCCCCCACACCATTACCAGTCCTCTACCGCACGTCCAGCTCTACTTTGGCCAAGTCACGCAATGGCCATAAGGTCTCTATTTGTTCTGGCAATGTTTCCGGTTGTTACGCTAACTAAATCTCATCTTTCTTTCACCCCACTCTACACCTACGTTAGCCATTCCCATTACAATTAACGCTGTACAGTTACCAACATTTCTGTAGGGTACTAAATAGAGAAAAAATTTTAACGTCGAATTACGAATTTATATCACAAACCAAACCGAAGTCTCCCTAACCCAAACACCCTTATTCTAATATCAGAACTTAAATCGATAAAATGTTTTTTTTTAAATTAAATTCCGGACGAAAACTAATAGATCAAGTGGCGTCGCTAGGCCGGGCGTCACCCAATGCAGCACTTCGTGGTGTCACCCCCCACCCCCAAGAAACAATGTATATATATATATATATATATATATATATATATATATATATATATATATATATATATATATATATATATATATATATATATATATATATATATACATATATATGTATGTGTGTATGTGTGGTGGCCTACATAGGTCTATTATACATATATATATGCCACGTACGCGTACATGTATGTGTATATGCTTTAATCACTGCAGACATAATCGTAACGATGTTTATCTATAGTCTGGTAATAATACAATTGGATGTAGCAATGTTTTCTCAATAGTTAGCACGTTCACGTCACGGTGTCACCCGCACCCTAATTAACTTTAATCATTTATGGAACTGGCAAAAAAAAAAAAAAACATCTTTCTTCTGTACATTTTGCAATTTTTTGCTTTGGTGTCACCCCACTTAATGGTGTCACCCGGTGCGGTCCGCACCCCACACCCCGCCCTCGCTATGCAGTAGAGTAGCGAGGGTGGGGGGGGGGCGGGGGGACATATGTCCCCGGGCGCCGACCTTAGGGGGCGCCAAAATGGGTTGGAAAAATAAATTGAAAGGTTGAGTGGGGTGCAAATCAAAAGTTTGGGGGGGGGGGGGGTGAAAATCGAAATCCTGAGGGGGGGGGGGGTGTGTGCAAATCGAAAAGTTTGTCCCCGGGCGCCGGGAAGGGGGCGGTCGCCACGCCTCTGTTTCGAAATGATCTTATGATAACCTGTTGTAAACTTTTGCCAGTAAAAGGACAAATTTCTCTTGGACCATACATTTATTGTAACAAACTTACTCTCGCAGATGAGGATGGCCGCTGGTGCTTCTAATTCTCTGGTTTCATCAAGGAATTAAAGCAGAAGTCCAGATATCTACCGAGACGATGAAATCGATCTACCTCGGCTAAAAAAAAAATACCCCCCCCCTCACAACTTTGGACAATGCGTAGTCTACACATCTCAATCTTTGGAATTGCTTTTTTTTTCTACGTCTCGCGATATTTTCGTCTTGTACATGTCAAGTGATTTATCGGAAATACAATGTACCCCAGTCGTCATTAACTCTATTGAGATTGCTTATCGCCCCTGCTAACTCTCGCGTTGTTATGGTTACTCCAACACCACGGCCGCCATCCAACCATCGTCTCCTCGTCTTTGATTGGTTGGGGGCTTTTTTTTTTCATTTCCTTTTTTTTTTGGGACACATTTAAGAAGCCTCTGTGGTCGTTATTTGGCGAGAGATTAATTTGTTGCCTAATTCTAGACTCGCCGGTCTATTCATACAAGGGCTTGCTTTTCTCGATGCTGAATTTATATTTGCGTGTAATTTATCGCTGCAAAATTTTCGTTTTTTTTTTTTAATGGTGAGATTGTGAGTGTGTGTCCACGTATGGGTGTGTCTGTGTAATATAATTGTGTAGGCTATTTTCACACTATTTTGTATTGTATTATTAGCTTTTTAAATGACGTAATGGTGCCTTTTATTGGAGCCAGAGAAGTTAGCACAAAAGACCGGTGCTTGATAATAAGACCGGTATACTATACAGTACTATACACTAAAGAAAATGAAACAGAATCCAATTGAGGGTCAAGGACAAATAAACCCTGCAGATTGTGATCAAGGTCATGAAAACTACAAGGGTGCTGACGGTGCTGATGGTTAAATGTGATGGTCTGGTTAATGGTCTGGTTAAATGTGATGGTCTGGTTAATGGTCTGGTTAAATGTAATGGTCTGGTTAAATGTGATGGTCTGGTTAAATGTGATGGTCTGGTTAAATGTGATGGTCTGGTTAAATGTGATGGTCTGGTTAAATGTGATGATCTGGTTAAATGTGATGGTCTGGTTAATGGTCTGGTTAAATGTGATGGTCTGGTTAAATGTGATGGTCTGGTTAAATGTGATGGTCTGGTTAATGGTCTGGTTAAATGTGATGGTCTGGTTAAATGTGATGGTCTGGTTAAATGTGATGGTCTGGTTAAATGTGATGGTCTGGTTAAATGTGATGGTCTGGTTAAATGTGATGGTCTGGTTAAATGTGATGGTCTGGTTAAATGTGATGGTCTGGTTAAATGTGATGGTCTGGTTAAATGTGATGGTCTGGTTAAATGTGATGGTCTGGTTAAATGTAATGGTCTGGTTAAATGTGATGGTCTGGTTAAATGTAATGGTCTGGTAAAATATGATGGTCTGGTAAAATATGATGGTCTGGTAAAATGGTCTGGTTAAATGTGATGGTCTGGTTAAATGTGATGGTCTGGTTAAATGTGATGGTCTGGTTAAATGTGATGGTCTGGTTAAATGTGATGGTCTGGTTAAATGTGATGGTCTGGTTAAATGTGATGGTCTGGTTAAATGTGATGGTCTGGTTAAATGTGATGGTCTGGTTAAATGTGATGGTCTGGTTAAATGTGATGGTCTTGTTAAATGTGATGGTCTGGTTAAATGTGATGGTCTGGTTAATGGTCTGGTTAAATGTGATGGTCTGGTTAAATGTGATGGTCTGGTTAAATGTGATGGTCTGGTTTATGGTCTGGTTAAATGTGATGGTCTGGTTAAAAGTGATGGTCTGGTTAATGGTCTGGTTAATGGTCTGGTTAAATGTGATGGTCTGGTTAAATGTGATGGTCTTGTTAAATGTGATGGTCTGGTTAAATGTGATGGTCTGGTAAAATGGTCTGGTTAAATGTGATGGTCTGGTTAAATGTGATGATCTGGTTAAATGTGATGGTCTGGTTAAATGTGATGGTCTGGTTAAATGTGATGGTCTGGTTAAATGTGATGGTCTGGTAAAATGGTCTGGTTAAATGTGATGGTCTGGTTAAATGTGATGATCTGGTTAAATGTGATGGTCTGGTTAAATGTGATGGTCTGGTTAAATGTGATGGTCTGGTAAAATGGTCTGGTTAAATGTGATGGTCTGGTTAAATGTGATAGTCTGGTTAAATGTGATGGTCTGGTTAAATGTGATGGTCTGGTTAAATGTGATGGTCTGGTAAAATGGTCTGGTTAAATGTGATGGTCTGGTTAAATGTGATGGTCTGGTTAAATGTGATGGTCTGGTTAAATGTGATGATCTGGTTAAATGTGATGGTCTGGTTAAATGTGATGGTCTGGTTAAATGTGATGGTCTGGTAAAATGGTCTGGTTAAATGTGATGGTCTGGTTAAATGTGATGGTCTGGTTAAATGTGATGGTCTGGTTAAATGTGATGGTCTGGTTAAATGTGATGGTCTGGTTAAATGTGATGGTCTGGTTAAATGTGATGGTCTGGTTAAATGTGATGGTCTGGTTAAATGTGATGGTCTGGTTAATGGTCTGGTTAAATGTGATGGTCTGGTTAAATGTGATGGTCTGGTTAAATGTGATGGTCTGGTTAAATGTGATGGTCTGGTTAAATGTGATGGTCTGGTTAAATGTGATGATCTGGTTAAATGTGATGGTCTGGTTAAATGTGATGGTCTGATTAAATGTGATGGTCTGGTTAAATGTGATGGTCTGGTTAAATGTGATGGTCTGGTTAAATGTGATGGTCTGGTTAAATGTGATGGTCTGGTTAAATGTGATGGTCTGGTTAAATGTGATGGTCTGGTTAAATGTGATGGTCTGGTTAAATGTGATGGTCTGGTTAAATGTGATGGTCTGGTTAAATGTGATGGTCTGGTTAAATGGTCTGGTTAAATGTGATGGTCTGGTTAAATGTGATGGTCTGGTTAAATGTGATGGTCTGGTAAAATGGTCTGGTTAAATGTGATGGTCTGGTTAAATGTGATGGTCTTGTTAAATGTGATGGTCTGGTTAAATGTGATGGTCTGGTAAAATGGTCTGGTTAAATGTGATGGTCTGGTTAAATGTGATGGTCTGGTTAAATGTGATGGTCTGGTTAAATGTGATGGTCTGGTTAAATGTGATGGTCTGGTTAAATGTGATGGTCTGATTAAATGTGATGGTCTGGTTAAATGCAGTGTTTCATGCATTTTCTGCACCGCGGAGCACGCCCCAACTCCATCCAGGACGAAATATTTTAAAAAATTATAACTTCTACGAGCCGGCCCGCGGCATAACATACGCCGCTATTTAGTTGTTTCTAATTTTCAATAATTCATAATTTGTGAATTCGACAGTACCAACGCTGACACTGAAAATATTTCTTTAAAACACTATAAGTAGCTCGTTAAGGACCATACCCCCCCCCCTTCCTTCCCCCCCTCCCCCCCCCCCCCCTCCCCCCCCCCCCACACGTTTAAAATCGTTGGCTCTGCTTGTAAACATTTAGAGTGAACACAGCTCACTAAAACCATGTAGGGGTGGGGAGGTAGGGAGAGCGTTTGCAGCTTGTTTTCTAACGGCTCGAAGAAGAGAATTATATATATAGATTATATATATAGATAGAAAATATATAATTTAACCAAAGTTTGACTCCGGTAGTTTCGTATTTCCGCCCTCCACCCACCCAACACACCCCCACCGCCGCAGAATTGTCTTAAAAACCTGGTTAAAGGGTATGGTCTGATTGAATGAGATTGACTGGCTAGATGTGAATGTCTAACCCAATAAGTTTGTTTTATTTTTGTTAATTATTTTCATCCTAAGTTTTACCCTATCACTTTTACTGGCCGCAAGGAATTTCAGGATCTACGTGATTTTTGTCACTGGACCTGCCAACTGATTCTAGATAGAATATTATGTGTAAGAGAGAGGGGGGGGGGTCCATAAACGAAGTCACACTCCTGCGCAGAAGTTTAGTAGGGGTGGGGGGGGGGGGGGTCAGATATTGTATCAACACTTTTGCATTAACAGTAATGAAAGCCATTATTTAGCATCTTATAGACATATATTTTGTAAATTGCAATAAAAATTGATCCATACACTCAGTGTTAGTCTCGAAAAAGTTTTTTTTTTTTTTTTTTTTTTTTTTTTAAGCACGGATAACGGTTAAAATTCATTTTCTAGCATTACTTTTAAAATGCAAAAATGTCTTAATATGCGCTGAAACCACCCCCTTGGCCGCACATCGAACCCTGCCTCACTGGGAGTGTGACGTTGTTTATTGATGACCCAAAACTAAGATAAAGTATATATTAATATAAAAATATTAGAATCTAGATTTCTAGTATATCGCTGCGGCGATAAACAGTTTTTTCGCTATTTAGTTTAACAAAGGAAAGTGAATCAAGCGAATGATGGATGACAAAATATTGAAAATAACAACAAACACTTATCATTATCATTAAGATTTATATTACAGTCTACCTACTAACAAATGACTCGATTATGCTGGAAGTTTGGAAATTCATTATGTAATTATTTAATAAAAAACTAAGATTAGGGGCCTAGATATAAAAGAATCTAGATCTAGGTAGTTAGTACTTAGATCTAGCTAGATCTAGATCTAGTAGAGTTAGTTCTGAGTTCTGGGTAAAACTCCATTGCCATTTTGCATTTATGATTTTTTTTAGGGTAAAACCTTAGTTTAGCGAGCGTCGTAAATTCCAACGTAGCTAGTAATGTGCGATGGAGGTAACTAATGAATATTTCTTTCATTTGGCCATATTACGTTACTAAAAATAGCAGAGAAAAATTGTCGCATGGTTACTTTACTTATTTAATAGGCCTACTTACGGGGGAATTGAATTTTTGGAAAAGATAATCAATAGGCCTAATAATGTGAATAGTATATATACACATGGTAAATGTTGACAATTATATATTAATCTACTGTTATATGGGCCGTTTTCCCTGTTATACTGTCGTTTTTGGCCGCGGTTCAGTTTATACGGAGAGTGCTCCACTAGAAATCCTCTCATTATTTACGACCACAATTCTCGCGTTTTTTTCTGGCATTCTAAGGCATATTATTACTATCCATTTTATTAGCATCTTGTGTTAAAATAATGATAAGAATTTGCGAGATTAACAGTTTTTTCATTTGTCGTGGATAGGACCCCTAAAATAAACGTAAAAACCGTCAGAAAACGACGCGTGACGTTTCAGGGTCAGAGGTAAATCCATCCATCTAAAAGCAACGAGCGAGCCTAATAATTATCACTCAGCATACGTCATAGCTTGGGAAATTACTTTTTGAAATTGTGGTGGCCTCAGTTTTAGGGTCATTATGAGTTCATCATATGTTTATTTATATAGTTTTAGTATGATGTGTGCGAGATACTTAATAATACAAACGTAACCGCCTTGCAATTATGACTTTTGTACTTTACCCATCGCCATGAAAATCTTAACTGACAGTTGACACGAACATATTTTTAAGAGTTAAAAAAAAACTAAATCTAGATCTAAATAGTGCACATTCAATATTCCAAATTTGGATTTTTCTCAAGTTTTGACAAAAGTAAATGATTTAAAATTAAAACAATAATTCCTAAAGATATAGTGCTAGTGTTTTCCTAATGTTTTTGTGTGTTTCGGTTGTGTTTATGTTGTGTTTATAAAAAAATACGCTCAACTGGAGGCGAACGTGAAGCGACGAATAAAATATGCTAAAATGCAGTTTTTCCCAAGATTCTATATCTGTCTAATCTAGTATCTAGACTAGAATTCTATATCAGACTAAATCTAGAATTATGGCTGATTCAAGACTGAAAAAGATGTGCATGCACATAGCTCTACAACTACTACAAGTCTACAATAACCTGGTTTTTCTTGTCATCTTCATGTTCACTGTTATTGCTTATGTTTTGTCTTATTAATGGGACAGGGATTAACACAATAAATACTTAAATAGTAAATTTTAGTCCGGCTCTTTGAAATGTCACGCGTCATTTTTTGCGGTTTTTACATTTATTTTATTGGTCCTATCTACGACAAATGAAAAAACTTCTATTCTTGCAAAATCGCATCATTATTTTAATGCGAGATGCTAAATAAATGGACACCATGCCTTAAAATGGCAGAAAAATTCGCGAGATGTGTGGTTTTAATTAATACACACATTTCTTGGCGAGTACTCTTGGGAAAAACTGAACTGCCACCTTAAACGCCCTAGTACACTGCCTAAAACCCCCCTGGTACAGGTGTAGTAATATGTAATTGAGATATTTATAATGATTATTTACAGTTTTGCAGATACATTTTTAAATATCGATGTTTTTATATGAGATACCCATGCAGTCATTTCTGTCCAATATTTTTAGTATCATTACGTCCTTGTTATGCTAGTTGTCAGGCAGAAAGAACTAATTTTTGTTTTTTTGCTGAATGAACTGTTATAAATCTATTATAATTATAATTAAATTGTAGCATATGCAGAAGAAGTAAAATTATGAACATTATTATTGTATTAGTAAATTTATTAGTATATTTTTTTTCCTGTGGGCAAACAGAAGGTGCATTGAATTTTATTTGTGACCAGTGGTTAAATTCTCGTTTCTGACTATATGCATTCTATTTATTTAAATAGAGTGCTAAAATTTTAACCAGTTATCTGTGAAAGATGTCAGTTAGAAACCCTTCCTTTAGTGTATATTCATGACAATTTTTTTTTACTAGTTTATAAACTTTTTCTCATCAAATTATTTATTTTATAAATATTTATAAATGAATTTGCAATGCACAGTGACAGTGCTTAAATAAATTTCAGAATTTCTCCATTATTTTATATTTTTATTATTCAAAAATGGTTTCACTTGTATTGTAAAACTTTATTATAGCATTTTTGTTTGACTATTTCAGGCTGACAAACCTAGATTAAGTAATCTTCATGACCTTTAAGATGACTTCTCTATGTTTTACTAAAGTGTACATTTGTATATTGGCATCCCAAGCTTTAGGACTTCTAGTTGATCATAAAGCAGGTATGTGTCTTAAAATTTCACTTTATAGCTATAGCATTTTGTGCAAATAAACAGACCAATGTTTTATGAAATAATTTAGTTAAAATTTTTTAAAATTGTAGCCTTTAAGATTTGGTTTTAAACTAAATATGTCTTGTGAAACCTTTTTTTAGCTGCCCAAGGTTATGACTGGGGTGAACCAGATTATTCTGCTGGTATGATAATAAAAACTGCATGATTTTTTGTTGTATCTCATGCATGCTAATTGTTTTCTAATTTTATCAGAAGTATAACCATTGCTACTAATTCTAACTCTAATTTTGTCATTAAAAAGACAACTAATTTTAGCAGATGTTCATGCTCTCTTTTTACAAATTTTTGCTTAGAATAATTAACCCATTACAGTTTGTACATGAGAAGGATTTTAGATTTTACATTTTTCAACCGAGGTACTTTAAAAATAATAATTTAGAAATATTATTACCATACATTTAGTAAATAAAACAAATAGAATTATACAGAAAATGTTCTAAATTTATTATGTATGACAGGGGTCTCCAAACTACGGCCCGCGGGCCGGATGCGGCCCGCGAGGTCCTCTCATCCGGCCCGCGGAGATCTTTTTGTCCACTGAAAAAACGTTTGTTGGTGATGGCTGAGGAACTTTGCCCAGAGAAATCAAAGACATGCCTGGAAGAAACTGGCCCCCGAACTGAAATTTGATAGTTAATGCGGCCCTCGAACTGAAAAGTTTGGAGACCCCTGATGTATGAGATTAAATAGCTTAATAAATTACTAATAATTATAATAAATATAAATAACATTAATCCCAGAAATCCATAATCAAAGCAGTATTCCAAGAAAAAGTTTATTTTAAATGCTAAAAATAAAATTCAATCTAATCACTGGAGCTACTTTTTTTTCATTATCACTGTATTAGCTACATATAAATAAATCCAGATTCAACAAATTTAAAAACAGCAAAAATGACTCTGAAATGGATTAACTTTTAGGAAAATATAGCAATAACGTTAAACCACAACATAAAAAGAGAAAACTGGGGCATATGACTGCTGGTGCAGGATGTCCAATTAGTGGATCCCAGTTACTAAGGTAACTGCTGGAGTACTCTGGGCGTCAAACTACACCCAAGTTTTATGGCAATTGAATTAAAGATGAAATATTGTATATAAGACAAACAAACCCACAAACACACATTCTTTCATTTATATATAGATAGATAGATAGATAGACATATAGACAGACAGACAGACAGACAGACAGACAGACAGACAGACAGACAGACAGATAGATAGATAGATAGATAGATAGATAGATAGATAGATAGATAGATAGATAGATAGATAGATAGATAGATAGATAGATAGATAGATAGATAAAAAGATAGATGGATAGACAGATAGATAAAAAGCACTAGTTGCCTCCCTTCTCTATCTTCCATTTGTATAGCCTGCTTGAAATCTAACACCTGTAACATATAAATACGATAGATTAGAATAGTTTCACTTTGTAAACTTTGTCTTGTTTTTAGATGCAGCTTGTTCCATTTTTTAAATTTATTCTCTCATTTAACTAGATAAATACTAACATTTTGTTGCAGTCTGAATGGGTCCAAACAGAATTTTTTTTTGATGAATTTGAATGTGACTTATGTTTTTCAGTGCTCTGAACTGTGCCTAAATAAGATTTCATTTCATTTTAGGAAATTGTACTAATTTTTTTATTGTTGCGAAACAGCAATACCTCTCAGTACAATTGGGTCCTTGAAAGCTGTTCCATTCCCTTTAAATACACAGATGCCCTACAGCTGAATTACATCTCAGAAGAAAATGTCCACTGACAAAGTCTCTAATTCACAATAAAGTATAGGTATAATAATGTGCTGTAAAACCTTTTGGTAGCAGTTTTCACTTTTAAGTTTATTTGTTTTTAAACTTAAATTGGTTTTTAATAAATCAAAGAGAGGAAAGTTAGTTGGATATAGTGTAGACCATGAAGGGGATTTGATTTTATGGTCATTTTTTTATAAAATTCATAATATATTATTTTATTTTATTTCTTTTTTTTTTTTGTTTATTTTGTTTGGTATATTATACAAACTTGTATTTGAAAGGTATTTTCAGTTTGTAAGGAGTGAACATTTAAAAAAATGTATTTTATTAGTATCAGTTGCAATTTATTTCAGTGTGGTAAATCACATAGTTCCTTCCTACCTTTTTTTCAAACAGCAGTTTAGCTGAACTTTATTGTATTTCTCATTGTTAGTTAAATGATCACTATTATCTAATTGCAGATTATTTAATATAAATGTGTAGGTCTACTTTGAGTCTATCAATAGAACTTTGAAACTAACCTTATTCATTTCCTTGACAGCCTAATAAATCTGGCTCAGATTTGTCTTTTTTTAGCTGGTCTAGTTAAAACTTTAAATTAGCACTTAAGGCTAGACTGATCTTTTTATCTTCACAAGTAAATATAAGGTACCACCTGCTAGTAATGGCTTTATATTTGTAATACTTTTTACATATTGTTTTTATCTACTATAATTGCAAAAGCTCTTATGTTGATTATATGTAGATCTATAGTAACCTTAGTTTCTAATTATCCAGCTAGTAATCAACTGAAAATTTTTAAAAAGGTCTAGTTAATACATTTTCATTTTTTTTGGTCTACCTTGCACAATTTTTATCATCTTTTAACATGAAATTTTATTTTGGCTTTGTTTACTAAAAACACTAACTTCTCTTATTTATTCTAATGCTTTATATGTTGAATTAATAAACTATCTCGCTAGAATAACAATTTTCTAAGTTCTGCATTTTATATAGACTGATGTAACCTTGTCATTCTAGGGTGATGATGTTGCATGTTTGTATTCACATTTGTATTTAGTTACTGTTTCACCAATATTTTTTTATTTTATTTTTTTGCTCAGGTTGTGTTTTATTGAGTCTCCATAGAAAATGTTGACTTTTTTATAATATGGTTTTTACTGTAATTTCAAAACTTACCTAAATATGATAATGAAATCAAGCATTTCTTGCATTTATTACTTTTAAACAGTAATTTGTTTAATTATAAGCAATGTACATATTGTAGATGATTTTTGCAAACATTATTTTTACCAGATATCAAGCCTATGAACCCAGTTGTGTTTTATGGGGAAATACTAAGGCTGAATTGTACTTTACATGAGGAAATCAATGATGTTTCTGCTTCAGAAATGTACTTTGAAATAAGTGGTATTAACACAACGTGGACCATCAAAGAAGGTTTAAAAGTTACATCCAGATCCATTGAAGCTGATATCAACATAACTAAAGAATTTTATATAACAACTAATGTAGACTGCAGAACAACTAAAAAGTCTTTGAGGACTACTTACATTAAAGCAGATAGTATGTTTTGAATTTATATTCTGTATTTCTGTTTATTCTGCATATTTTGTCAAAAGTTCAAAGAATATTTACCATTTTGTATTTCAACAATTACGAATATGTCAGTTACATGAACTTTAATACATGTTTTTGTTAGTTGAATTTCACATTATTGTTTATAATTTTTAAATGCTACCAAAGTTTTTCCAAGAATTTAAAATGGTTTTGTTAAATGATATATCCTTGATAACAGATCCCATACAGAATATCACAGATTTTATGGGAACTTATTATTACAAAGACAAAATAGAAGTGACTTGGAACCTAGCAAATACTTACTGGAGCACACAAGTGAATACAAATTGGTATTTTGGTTCTGCACCTGAGCTAAAGTAAGTCTATCAGTAATTTGTCATGGTTACCCAAGTGATTATATATGGCAGATTGATAAATAATACTGATGGCTAGTTTAAAAAGTAATTTTTAAAATTAAATCTTGTGATATTTTATGTAGGCTGAAACCATGGATTTGCTGTTTGTACATTGAAATAAGTTCAACTAAAAATACATTTCTTTACAGTTACAGTTTACCATGCAGCACTGCAACAGATACATCATGTGCAATAGCTGACAGAGGGTACAATGGAGCATCAAAGCTCTTCTTTAAGATAACTGTCAATTTAACCTTATCAAATACTGCTAAAAGGGATACAAGTTTTCTTGTTTTTGAACTACCATCCAGCGCCACAGCAATACATAGCTTTAACGTTGATGATCACAGTAAGTGATTTTATTTTCAGAAATTGATTGAACTTTTAATGACAAATTTGTAGTTGTCACATGTCTCTTTAGCAATGGATTATAATCAAAAGAAACTGAGTTATTTGTAGCACTAGACCATCCAGTCTTCTGTTGTAGAAGTGTCTGTCAGCGTCACTGCACAACACAAATCAATATGTCATTACACCCACCCCACTCTGTATAAACCCTTTTAACCCCAAATGAATCCCTGTTGTTCCTAAACCCTAACTTCTGCCACAATCCTTAGGGACAACCATTTCTGATGTACATGCTGGAGAGGGGGGGGGGGGGGGGGGGGGGGGGGGTCATAGGGAAATTGAGTTTTCTGTACTTTTGCAAAGTGGGGGGGGGGGGGTGTTTTGGTTGTCTTAGCAGTAACTTTCAAACATCATTTATGTTATAACATTCTCTTACTGATACAATAAGCAAGAACTAAAATATATGTATTTTAGTCAAAGAATATTCTTATTACTTTATAAAATACCCAAACTAATTCATTGCGTTAAAAAATTCAGTTAAAAACAATTATTTTTTGTGGTTTTTTATAAAGTTTTTTTTTTCAGACAAAAATTACTTTTTATCCTACTACGGCCACCCTCATGAAGCCTTGTAACCCTAAATGAATCCCTCTTCCTTGACCCAAACTACTACCAAGTGCCTTTAAAGCTTCCATTTCTGACATCCAAGAGTGAAGGGGGGAGGGGGGGAAGGGTTATGAAAGTTTGGTGGATACTTGCAGGATGTGGGGGGGGGGGTGCTGAGGTCAGCTTAGTGGTAACTTCCGCTCATCAAATATAAAATTCCCATACTATTACAAAAAATAACAAAAAAATATTTAAATCAACCAAATACCATATTAATTTATTTAATACCCAAACAGATTTATTGCGGTAATTCAGTAAAAAATCTGGTTATTTGTGGTTTTTTTTGTTGTTATTTATTTTTAAAAGAGCTATTTTTTTTAAATTTCTGCTGATGAAAAATGATTTTCTTAATGGTTCATGCCTTGATGAGAACACAATATAATGAATGCAAACATTAATTTCTTCATTTTCTAAAATTTGAAAATCTGTCAAACATATCCTATAGATAACTGTTGGAACCTAATAGTAATAGGAGCAAAAAAAAGTCAATCATTATAAAGTTAACGTCTAAGAAATTACATTTAAACAAATCATTAAAAAAATTACAGTGACTTCATGGGTTTTGTTCTAGCAACCTGAGGGACAGATTGGTTTGCACACTAACATATAGGCCAGATTTACACATATCATTGTGGTGAAAAAATATCTTATTATTTTACTCTGGGTAAAGGAGGCCACTCTTAACCGTTATGTTATTGTCGTCTTCAAATGAATTTTTGTATAACATTTGTCTTGACATAAATTTGTATTTTAAAGTTCGGTACATTGTACAGATACTCTGAACAAGCAATTCAGACAAACAAATTCTGTTGATATAATATTTGTTATATTTTATGACAAAACTAAGACAATGGCCATAAATAACAAAATAATAGCCTCACAGCTAAATTTAAAAAAAAAAATTTAAATAATTATTAATATAACTAATGACGAGTTAATTTAAATGTCCACACTTGTTCTCCACCAACATTTAACTGTTGAATGCCATTCTAACAACAAGCTTAATCATAGACTGCAACAGCTTTATTATTACAGACCTTTGTTTATTTTCCAATCAGCTTTAATCAATATAAAAATGATATTGAATGTGTTCTCTTGTTTCAGTAAAGTCTGGCCCTCCATCAGACTTAACCATAACCCATAAGACAAGCACATGCTTCAACTTTACCTGGAGAAATCCTGAGTATATTGACCTCTGCAAAATGTGTCCCAGATTTTACCAGATTGAGTTTAAAGAAGAAGACATGATGAAATGGATGGTTAGTAGTGCATTGTTAATCAGTTATTCATCATTGTTAGCATTGTAAAAATGTTACTTTTATTGTTTTTAACAATCATCTTTTTTTTTTTCTTTTATTAATTTATTAATGAAATTAATATAAAAAATTCTCACATAAAAATAAAGTTGTAAGGGAAAAAAAACTTTGATTCACAAACCACAAAAGCATCAAGTAAGAAATACCTTTAGTTTGGTGTAACCTTTTTAAAGCTATATACTGGTATGAAGGTTTTGCTCAATGATGAACATTAAACATTGGTCTTATGTTATAGAATGTAAACCTATCAATAAACTCCCCCACAAAAGAGAATAAATTTTCCACAAGTTAGCTTCCAGGCTTTTATTTTTAAACATACCACATTTATAAATTAAATCAAAGCCTTTTTCCTTAAAAAATTTTTTTATGTGAGAATTAATTTCCACTTTTTAGTAATTTGTTTTTAAATAAAACTAACATTACATGGGCTCCGACTAAATATGTGTTGTTTTTTTTAAAATCAGTCCAGTAGCTTACAATCTCTAAAATTCAATTATCTGAGCATGAAATCAACCAACTCTCAATACAGTTCACTCTCGACAGCCCTCTGATCAAGCAATCACTAGTATTTTATTTATTATCTTGTTACCTCCCCTTTTATAATTGTATATAGTAATTTAATATAGTAATATTAAAATTAAATTGTCTATCTAATTAAATTTAAAAAGAGGTATTCTTGCATGAATTGCTGAATTTCAGGTCAATCTGAAGTGGGTTAAACTAATATTCCAAGACTTGCAGATAAACAAACAAAATATAATATTTAAAAAAATTAAATTGTCTATCTAATAAAAGCCTTTAACTTAATAAAAAATTAAAAATTCTTGCTTTCTCATCCAAAATCTGCCACTGTGCCAAATTTGAGCTCTATCGGACAATGGGAAGTGGTTTAAATTAATATTCCATTCCACAAACATACAAGTGAACTTAAAAAAGGCCTTTAAAAAAGGCTTTTTTTATTATTGTTTTAGCTTAGCTCTCAGTGGAACTACAATTATCAATTTTTTTTAAATTAAAATTTTTATCACAGACCATAATCCAATGGATAACTGATCCTCAAGTACAATTACATTTCTTTTAAAGGTTGTTTTTTTGTGTGTGGGTTAGTCAGACATACTGTTAGAAATTGGATAATCTTGGTCATAAAGTTTTATTTTAGAACTACATTTTAATACATTTTTATTAAGTTCACACTGTCTGTTCATTTGTTTGTTTGCTTTTTGTTTGTTTGTGGCAAACTACATTTTGACCTGCATTCAAATGCAGCAATTTCGTTCAAATGTTTGAAGTTCTTTAGTGACAATGCAAGAATATCTAATTTTAATTAAAAATTAATATTAAGATTACTATATGTAATAGTAAAATCGGAGATAACAGAATTAATCTAAAGCAATTACTTGATTAGGCTGTTTACGATGGTAAAATGTTTGTCCCTTATGGTTGGTGGCAGATGTCTTTTAGAGATTGTGAGCTACTGATTGAGTTAAAAAGCATATATTTTTAGTCATATGTTGTGTCTGTTTCATTAAGAACAAAGTACTAAAAAGTAGTAAATAAAGCCAATATAATTTTATATTAAGATTTTAAATCCACTGAAGACAAAAAAAATTACTTTCTTTAATAAAGCATTGGTCACTTGTAAAATCTCTTACTCACTTTAGTGACCAAATGTTCTTATGAAGGGAAGCAAGTCTATATTTTTAAACATCTGTGCATTTAAAAGCTTGTCATTATAAATTTGTTAATATTTGTTGTATTTCAAAACTAAAAACATAACATTTTTTGTTAAACCTTTTTTAAACAAGCATGATATTTAAATTGAACCTGTTGTTATTTTCAACATTTGTGTAAAGGAAGTATCAACATAAGCAGAACTACCACCAGAGTTCATATGGTGATTTAGTTTCTCAATTGAAATCTGTACTTGAGTAGCCCCTGAAGGGTTTAGACAATGTTTTGCTTTTAACCAGAAACATACCTCATGCTAGTTTTCTCACATAGGTCTCTTGTTTACATGGAATCTTCTGACACACCCTCTAACAGCTAGGAAACAAATGTACAAGTTTTGTATAAAGTTTTTTTTCTGTTGTTTTTACCACCCCATTTTGCCTCACCCTAGAAGTTGATATATAGAGTGAGGTTATTTGTTTGGTGAGACAATCTGGCAACATTAAACAATCCTTTGATGAGACAATCTGGCAACATTAAACAATCCTTTGTTTGGTGAGACAATCTGGCAACATTAAACAATCCTTTGGTGAGACAATCTGGCAACATTAAACAATCCTTTGATGAGACAAGACAATCTGGCAACATTAAACTATCCTTTGATGAGACAATCTGGCAACATTAAACAATCCTTTGTTTGGTGAGACAATCTGGCAACATTAAACAATCCTTTGGTGAGACAATCTGGCAACATTAAACAATCCTTTGATGAGACAAGACAATCTGGCAACATTAAACAATCCTTTGGTGAGACAATCTGGCAACATTAAACAATCCTTTGATTGGTGAGACAATCTGGCAACATTAAACAATCCTTTGGTGAGACAATCTGGCAACATTAAACAATCCTTTGATTGGTGAGACAATTTGGCAACATTAAACAATCCTTTTGTGAGACAATCTGGCAACATTAAACAATCCTTTGATTGGTGAGACAATCTGGCAACATTAAACAATCCTTTGGTGAGACAATCTGGCAACATTAAACAATCCTTTGATTGGTGAGACAATTTGGCAACATTAAACAATCCTTTGGTGAGACAATCTGGCAACATAAACAATCCTTTTATTGGTGAGACAATCTGGCAACATTGAACAATCCTTTGATTGGTGAGACAATCTGGCAACATTGAACAATCCTTTGATTGGTGAGACAATCTGGCAACATTAAACAATCTTATTGTGTTTACACCTGATATCCCTATTAATATCCTTACATCCTTACCTGACCATCTTGTATTGCTTGTTGCAAAATGAGATCTAGTAAGCCATATCTTGTCTTCAATTTGTATTCAGTTACTTTAACCCTAAGGCAATGTTATATGTCAGTTTAAAGCAATTTATAATCTGAGACTAGAGCAAACTTACAGCCTCCAGGACCAACCATATATAATGGTTTGTAAAGGTAGCATTTCCCTTGTCATTAAACTCTTCTTAATGCCTTGCAAAAAGAAAGATATTTACTTCATCTGCCATTCTTCTAGTTATATGTGGTTTTTTTTCTTAATAACTTATAAAGTAATAACATTGCTAATGTAAGGGGGGGGGGGGGTTCAATGATTGCCAAAGTGACTGCTTCTCAAAATGTAGCTAGGCCTAATAAGCCAATTTTAGCCATAATTTTTTTCATTATAAAAAAGTGTTACATTTTATTGCATACATCAAATACAATACATACTTAAAGTACATTTCAATATATCAAAGTACAAGTCAAATTTTCATCAATCTAGTAAAAAGTAAAAACTAAATTTTACCAAAAAATAATGAGAGCTCTTCTAATAATGATATTTTTGTTATTTATTAAAGTTGTTGAAACAGTGTTACAATTACTTTTTTACTTTTATATACAGAGTTTAGAGAAAGTATTGTGATAGTGCATTTTACACCTAAAAAATTGACAGAAAACTGATACAAACTTGTAAATAAAATTTTGTCAACATAACTGAAATGGTACTCAAGTTATCGTGTTCACAGACATACAAACAAACATACACACACTGACTAACTCGTAAAGCCTTATTTTTCTGACTCAGTGACGTGAAAAATAACGAGATTTTGATATATCTGGATTTAGAATTTTTGCCTGTTTAAAATCCCCTACACTCCATGTATGATGAAGTTTCATGTGATTTTTGTGCATGATTACAATACTTCCCCTTTCCACTGTAAACAAAAAGTAAAAAAGAAAAATGGATTTATCCTTGTGTTAAGCAGATTAGTTGTCTTTTCTTCACAGCTTCTAATTTAATTTTCTTTAAAATTAATTGAATGTTAAGTGTTAAAGTGCTAATTTTGAACCAATAATTATTTTCCTCCCCCCACCCCTGCTTATTTCTAGCATATCCTAGTTGGTCTTTGAATATCAGGTTAAAGAACAGTTTCATTCATTTGTGAATCACCACTATTTGACTGGGTAAATGGTATACATAATTTACATTTAAATAATCAATGCACTGCATGTTAAACATAAGCTCATGTTTCTCTCACAGTACTTGATAACAGTGATGGCTATCTGTATCATATGAGTTGATACAATTTTTTGAATTGTTTCATAGCTTCTGTTTTGATTCTTGCGTCTGTATCTTTTTTCCTGAATTACCCCTTATAAAATACTTTTACACCCATTGATTTAGCACAATGTTTTTGCCTATTTCCTTCTAGCCAAATGCTAATCATAGGTTGTGAATGCCATTCTCTCATATTACCTCTGCCTTGATTAAAGAAAATATCCACACATTTTAATTTTTTTAAAAATGTATTGTTGTATTGTTCAACTGTAATAGATTAAGAATATTGTTTATGGTAATAGACATTTATACTTAAAATTTTCCTAGAGTTTTTCTTGTACTGTAGGAAATAAATGTGCTGTAAGTTGTGTATAAGTCACATAAGATGTTTTCTAAATTGCCACACTGCTTGCTGCTAGCCTCACTACACAAAACTTGATATCACTTTTTTATATAGCGAAGTGGCAGAGGCGCACCTATTTCTTATTCTACCTTAATAAGAATTTACAATTATATTGGGGAAAAAAAAAATGAACTGACCATTATATTCATTGCAATTTGCTTTTGGAAGTCTCTAAAATTTAATTATTATTAAGTACATTAATTGTTATGAAGTCATTATTAGCTTATATTTACATACTATAAATAGGTTGTAATTTTACTTATTACGACTACTACTAATTAAACGTATAAATTCCATAATATTTCTTCTTTGTTTAATTCTAGAGAGAAAACTCCACCACCCTGGCACCATACCCACAAGCAAACTCCTCTATTGCACTGTGTCACCTGAAACCCTTCACTACATACACATTAAGATTTCAAGTCAAAGGGCAGATTCAACAGCCATGGAGTGATTGGACCTACATCACTGGATCTACAAATGAAGACAGTTGGTTTTCATTTATTTTTTAACTCTATAATTTAAACAACGCAGAATTAAAGAAATGACAAGTATCCAACTGTATTCAGAAAATAACAGTCTCACAATTTCATTACAGGACCTTTGTATGGCCCTAACTTGACAGAAACCAGTTTTTATGAGGAGAAATGTACAGAATTAAATGAAAGAAAAGTCTACATTTATTGGCAGGTAATTCACAAATTCAAACAACCATCACAGGTTTTAAAGGACAAAATGCAGATCCATTTAAAGTTAACATGCAATTCAGTGATAAATCTTGTCTTTCACCTAACAAAAACAAAGGAAGTCATTTCTTTTTTCCTATAGGAACCAACAGCTAGCTTGCTACAAGGTGTCTTAACTTACTATGAAGTAGAGATTAATAATGCAACAGATCTGTTGAGAAAAGGATCCAACTACTATATAGCAGACCTTAACTGTGAAACTGATTACAATATATCTATATATGCAGCTACTAAAGTTGGCAAATCTCTACAGCCATCATCCATTTTCATACCTGCTCGTAGTAAAGGTACGTTCACTTTATCAGATTCACACTAGGACTCAAAGAATTTAGAACACCCCACAATGTGAATCTTCCAATGACTAACTCCCACAACAGCACCTAAGCCAAACCACACCTAGAACTAAACATCCAGAGCTAACTATCCAGACAAAAATACAAAATTTGTTCTGTGTTTTATCTTACACATAACCTGATTATTCCCTAATGTTAAGTTGTATTTTTTATTTTAAAAATGCCTTTGAAATATTTAAATTCAAAGATCCTAGATCATCAGCCAGTCTATTTATAGAATTTCATATAGCTACAAAGGTTAAGTGTTCTAAAAGATGTGCTCATATTCTGATTTGTATGTGTCAACATTTGACGGACAGTAGATCTCATTCTTCCAACCCCAAAAGTCTTGAGTTCAGCTCACAGCTTGTCTGTTAGACTCACTTGAAATAATCTTATGATTGAAATCATCATCATCATTCCTTTGTGGCCCCTGGGGAGCAAAGGGCTGCAACCACACATCTCCATCGGACTCGGTTTTAAGCTGCCCCATTTATCTGTGCCCATGTGTGCCCAGCTGATTGAAAGTTGAATTTAAATTTTAAAAACAAATATTGTAATATTTCATTATCTTCTTACAACTCCTATGTGTTACAGAAATACCAGTGATAAAAGATTTGCAGTTCAAAGTAGAGGAAAAATTTGACATTCAGCTCTCCAGCATTGTAAAGAATATTTCAGCCACATGGGACACAAGCAGTGCAGATCCTTTAGATGAGTTGGAATTATATTATTGTGAGGAATACTATATCCCAAAAATTTGTTATGTAAGTATTAAAGCATGAATGAACAATATCTCAGCCAATTTAGCGCCATAACTAAAGCAACAAAATTATTAATACAAAAGTGTTTTATAAATATGTTTAGTACTTTTGTGTCTACAAGAATTGTTAACAAACCAGAATTCTAATTGATTAAAATCAGGATTATCTGAAAATTGCCTCCCTGTATTACAGTAACTGAATAATTTTATTGCTGTTCCCAAAAATGTTATGTTTCCCTAGGATGATTACACAACTGTGGTAGTGAATCTTAGTGTTGGTTTTCTGGAGATTCAGAATATGAATATTAAAAAGAACTTGTTTGGCTACGCACTAAAACACCCTGATAAAAGATTAGCAGGAATTCACTGGACTGATTGTGTTTACCGTGCTGATGTTGGTAATGCCAATTTTTTTATTCTGCAGCTGGTAAAATTTTAGTCTAGAAGACACTACATACATTTTTAAAAATCTTTTTTTTACTATTTAATGTAGTTTTTTTATTTGTCACTATTTAATGTAGCTATTTGTTTCTAATGATTTAATGTAGTTATTTGTTTCTCACTATTTAATGTAGTTATCATTAAAATGTAAATTCCCATGTTGTCTGTAGAGCCCAAAGCCCCTTCACTATTTAATGTAGTTATCATTGAAATATAACTTCCCATGTTGTCTGTAGAGCCCAAAGCCCCTTCACTATTTAATGTAGTTATCATTGAAATATAAATTCCCATGTTGTCTGTAGAGCCCAAAGCCCCTTCACTATTTAATGTAGTTATCATTGAAATATAACTTCCCATGTTGTCTGTAGAGCCCAAAGCCCCTTCACTATTTAATGTAGTTATCATTGAAATATAACTTCCCATGTTGTCTGTAGAGCCCAAAGCCCCTTCACTATTTAATGTAGTTATCATTGAAATGTAAATTCCCATGTTGTCTGTAGAGCCCAAAGCCCCTTCACTATTTAATGTAGTTATCACTGAAATGTAAATTCCCATGTTGTCTGTAGAGCCCAAAGCCCCTTCACTATTTAATGTAGTTATCATTGAAATATAACTTCCCATGTTGTCTGGTCTGTAGAGCCCAAAGCCCCTTCACTATTTAATGTAGTTATCATTGAAATATAACTTCCCATGTTGTCTGTAGAGCCCAAAGCCCCTTCACTATTTAATGTAGTTATCATTGAAATATAACTTCCCATGTTGTCAGGTCTGTAGAGCCCAAAGCCCCTTCACTATTTAATGTAGTTATCATTGAAATATAAATTCCCATGTTGTCTGTAGAGCCCAAAGCCCCTTCACTATTTAATGTAGTTATCATTGAAATATAAATTCCCATGTTGTCTGTAGAGCCCAAAGCCCCTTCACTATTTAATGTAGTTATCATTGAAATATAACTTCCCATGTTGTCTGTAGAGCCCAAAGCCCCTTCACTATTTAATGTAGTTATCATTGAAATATAACTTCCCATGTTGTCTGTAGAGCCCAAAGCCCCTTCACTATTTAATGTAGTTATCATTGAAATATAACTTCCCATGTTGTCTGTAGAGCCCAAAGCCCCTTCACTATTTAATGTAGTTATCATTGAAATATAACTTCCCATGTTGTCTGTAGAGCCCAAAGCCCCTTCACTATTTAATGTAGTTATCATTGAAATATAACTTCCCATGTTGTCTGTAGAGCCCAAAGCCCCTTCAGGATTCCAAGTGAACCCAGGAGATGTAGGTTCACTGACCTTGACATGGAGATCAGAGCCCTGTAGTAAAGACACTAAGACCCTCATTCTCTACTATCACATCAGTATTTGCTCTAAGCCTGAGTTCAATGAGGAATCATGCACTAGTAAGTCGTTCATTTGTTGCTGGTTTGAATATTCCTATAATCAAAATTGAAATTTTTACACCTTCAAAACACTGTTTTACAATCCTATTTGTCATTGTGGATGTATTTGTGTATAAATATGATAATTTAAGTATGGTTAGATTTAGGTTGGCAAAATTTCATTCATAAATATTAGATTAGTTTTGTTTATTGCAAAGATACTTACCATTTCCATTGACTAATTCTGCTGTAATTGCCATCCCAATCCTTATGTTATAAAAGAATAGACCAAAAAGTTGTGGGGAGCTCACTCCTGCTTTTTATTTATTCCTGGTTTTATTTTTTTTATTTTTTCAATTTTATTTATGTTAGAAATCTTTCAAGAATCTCACCATTCCCATGTTGTACTTATTTCTTTCTCAGATGTCACACTAAACAGCTCTGCAAGTAACTACACAGCTTATGACCTCATAGAGAAGCATGACTATACAGTTTACCTGTGGGCTGAATCTATATATAAACAAGGGCCCAAGCGAAGCATCACAGCAACAACCAGGCATAAAGGTATCTTTCATCAAATCATTTGTCCTGAAACATTTATTTTACAATATTCCACCTAATCACTATAAGCAATCATTTAATTCCTAATATAAGGTGAATAACTCTGGATTTACAAAAAAAAAAAGTTGCAAAATTTTATAAGTGATAAATAATTTTTTTAACCCTTTACCCGGCAGAAAACAAAACTATTTTACTTTCCTACGGCATGAAAAAAACTATGCATTTTTCAACCGCGGCACTATAAAAATAAAATAAATAGCATTATGCACAAAAGTTTATTATGTATGATGTTAAATATTATTTATATAAAAAATTATTTTAAATGCTTCAAAAATTTCAAGGTAGTCACTGGAGCTACTTTCTTTTTCAATATCACTGTATTAGTTACATTATAAAGCCTGATTCAAAGGCAGAGGCATTTCAATTACATTTTATTTCATTAATTATTGCCTGTAATTTAAAAGAAAATAATTCTAAACTGTAGAAAATGGACCACTAGTGATAGAACAACATGAAAACAAGTAAATAAAATGTATTATTTTCTGCTTCCGTCGGTATCTTCAAAATCTCATTACAAACAATACTTACACTGTAAAGTGTTAAACATTTCTTTTAATAGAAGCATACAAAACTGCTTTTCTCTCATTGTCAGTATCTGATAATACATTTAATAAATGACGCTAGACATTTAAACATTAGTAAAGAGTCAAAACAGGCCATTTGGAGTAATCCAAAATTGACATAGGGTTTAAAAAAAAAACATTGACTGTAAATAAAAAATTAAAAATAAAACAATATTACTGAACACTGGTAAAATTACATGTGAAACAAATCTTAAAAGATTGTAAAAAATTTAATGACTTGTTAAATTGATTCAATTTTCTTGTATAGATGATGTTTCCGACACAACAGCCACCGTTATAATAGCAGTAGTTGTTAGTTTGGGTGTGGCTGCCGGTGTTGCTGCAGCTGTCATCATTTATTGGTGAGTTGGATACTCTCAAAAGCATAAAATAATTTTCAAATGCTGTTAAAAAATAGTCTGTTATTTTTCTGCAATAAAATTATCATTTTTAGGTCATCTTTTTATAAAGCATTTTATTGACTGTTTCAGTATATGTAGAAAATCCAAGAAACGTGTAATGGAGTTTTATAAACCAGCATTGACAGCGTCATCACAGGTAATGTACATTTGATTTTATAGTCACAATACAGCATTAATTTTATCCAAAGGGTAGTAATTTTACAATAGCATGGTAATATGTTTGTACACCCTGTGTCTTATACCTTAGAAAGTTTTAAGTTGTTTTGACATGCATTGCTCAGATTAAGCAATGTTTAACTATGACTTACATAGTGCTTTAGGTGTTAAGTGAAACAAGTAAATATGATGATTGCTTAAAACTGCTTACTAAGAATAATTGCTAACTAACTATACAACAAACAGAGACAAACTCACACATTTGCATGTGAACTGTTATTTTTTTTACAAGGTCTTACCTTCAAATGTTCAGAAACTTTTCCATTTCTTTAATCATTTGTTTGTATTCTGATTACAGGCTTCACTTACAAATAATAACTACCTGGCTGGTACGCCACCAGAGAGCCAAGTGGTTGTGCCTATATATACAGGAAGCCAAGAAGTTTTGGCAACAGATGCAGGCAATCTTTATGATGAGCCATTAGAGCCAGAAAACAAAGCAACAGTGGCAGTTAAATCAGAAACCCAAGGAATAGAAGCAGTTGAGCCAGAACACCAAGCAATTATAGCAATAGAATCAGAAAACCAAGGAATAGGAGCAGTTGAATCAGAAAACCAAGAAATTGTAGCAATAGAATCAGAAAACCAAGCAACAGTGGTGCCCCCATGCTCAGATACATCATTGAAACAACCCAAACCCTCAAGTCATGTCTGTGACCCAGAGGGTGACTCTAACAGTCTAAATGATCCTAACAACTCTGAAGGGATGAACAGGCAAGTAGAAGAATATATAAGAATGGCTCATCATGGTGACACAAATCTGGCAACAACTGATCTGCACCTTTCTAGTCCAAGTGAGATTACTCTCACTTCTGATAAGTTGAAACATCCATTTCGTGAAATTGATGTGTTTTACATCAGAGAGGACATCAGGCCTAAAAATGTCAGGGACGCTGGCAGAAATGTTACCAAGAGAAATAATCATGACTTAACTCAGCTAGGAACTGAGCAAGAAGAAGCAATAGATCCTGAGCAGTCAGTTCCAGAATATGTTAGTATAAACTCTACTTCACCTGACATAGATGCTTCTTGTAGCAGGAACAATAGACTACGTCTGATTTCAGACCAGTTTAGTAAACCTCCAATAACTGTTCTGCCAGTTTTGGCACAAGAAATTGAAGATAGGCCTGTAGTCAAACAGGTACACAGTTTCCCTACATCAACCAACAATGTGAATACATTGGATTATTTACCTGTACCCTCACAGGTACACAGTTCCCCATCATCAACCAACAGTTCCCCTACATCAACCAACAGTTCCCCTTCATCATCCAGCAATGTGAATACATTGGATTATTTACCTGTACCCACTCAGGTAATCAGTTCCCCTGCAACCAACAACGTGAATACATTGGATAATTTACCTGTACCCACTCAGGTAAACAGTTCTCCTACATCATCCAACTGTTCCCCTACATCATCCAACAACATGAATACATTGGATTATTTACCTGTAGCTACACAGCTAAACAGTTCCCCTACATCATCCAACTGTTCCCCTACATCATCCAACAACATGAATACATTGGATTATTTACCTGTAGCTCCACAGGTAAACAGTTCCTCTACATCATCCAACAATATGAATACATTGGATTATTTACCTGTCCCCTCACAGGTAAACAGTTCCCCTACATCATCCAACAATATGAATACATTGGATTATTTACCTGTACCCACTCAGGTAAACTGTTCCCCTACATCAACCAACAGTTCCCCTACATCATCCAACAGCGTGAATACATTGGATTATTTACCTGTATCAACTGCTCTCCTAAACCAACAAATAGAATTTATTACAGAAGATGACAGCAGTTCAAATGTTTCTGATGTTTCAAGCGTGAGGGATATATCTTTTGGCACCAATACATCATATCTTGATGATGAATCAGTTTTACAGGATCTTCCCACCATATTAAATGACCCCAGTCAACATCAATACAACAGCTCAGGGGGTCTACACAATGGTGTAAGTGACCCCAGTCAACATCAATACAACAGCTCAGGGGGTCTACACAATGGTGTAAGTGACCCCAGTCAACATCAATACAACAGTTCAGGGGGTCTACACAATGGTGTAAGTGACCCCAATGACTCTCAATACAACAGCTCAGACAGTATGGAAAGTGACTCTCTACACAATTCTGAAACCACAGAACATTTGCTGCATAATGGTTATATTTCTCATGAATATCCCAATGAAGTTGAATCCAAATCACCTGTACCCATTGCTGATCTGGAGAAAGGTACAAATAAACTACACAATGGATATGTGAGTAACACAGTGAGTAACATGTTTTCAAATAACAGTTGGGATCACTTTCATAACACCCCTGGGGTTTAAGAAAGTTGTTTGAGTTGTTTTATTGTTGTTGTTTTTTTGGTTGGCTTATAAAAGAAATTTATAAATTGCTCATAAGAAATATCAATGGTTGAAATGTTGCCTATATAGTTGTTAAAAGTATTGTTATGAATTGCTCTAAAGAAGTATCTGCATAATGAAGATCTGGTTAAAAGTTCAGAGGTCAAAGTGCATCCGTTGTATTAGTCCAGGATTGTCCTGTCCATTATACAAGAGACGTTCCTGCATAATCCAAAACCCAGTGTCTAGTAAACCTCTTATGGTTGTGAATGACTAGCTTACTTCCACTTATGTTTATGCCATGTGTCAAAACAGACTTGTGCGTGATTAAGTCAGTTTAAAAAAAAAATAATAATTTCATGCAATACTAAAAAAGTAGTCATTGAGTCAGTTTTTTGTCATATAAAACAGTATGTGGTTTGTGATTAAGTCAGTCTTTTTAAATGTGATGTATTACGATATAAATGATTGCAATATAAGTGACTAATGTTTAATTTAGTGTTATTTTACTTTGCAATTGGTTGTATCAGTCTTTTTTATAATGTCATTGATTGCAGTACATGACAGTGTATCCAACTAGTGATTAAGTCAAATCTTTTTTTTTATTGTCATGTTTCTGTATCAAGTAACTAGTGAAAAAGTCATATATATATATTACAGTATAAGTTTTCAATGTCATGTATGACTGTCACTGTAATATTTTTTTTTAAATCTCAGCAGTATTTTGCCATTCTGTGATATTAAGCATCTTTGTTTTACCATAAATGTTCTGGTTGTTTTTATGTAGAATGAATATAGTTAGTATATCAGATGTTTTATTTGACTATTTTAACTACTTTCATTTTTTTACTAGCTTTAAGTTTGAAATTATGATTGTAATTTTATTTTGTATTATTAACCAAACATACTTTAATAAATGAATGTGAGTTTACTTACATTTACTTGTTTGACAAATGATTTTTAAATACAGTTATTTGTTTACTTATTTTACCTTAAAAAGGTGATTGGTTTATTTTTTTAATCATTGATGACTTTTACTAATCATTTTCTGTAAATTTGTATTTATTAGAAGAAGTAGGTAAAATTATATTTGAAATGGTTAGTTAGTTCACCAGTTATAAAGAAACATTTGTGTAATATTATGTTTATTTCAAACATGCCTGTGTGGAACTTGTGAACTACTGTAACTCAACTATGCTTCTATGCAATTTTAATTTTTTAAAAATTCAAGACTCATGTGGAGGACAACTCTAATATTTCTTGCTATCTAGACAGTTAAAAGCAACTCAGTTAATTTGTATTTTATTCAAAATTAAATTATTTCAGGGTCAACTTTACATGGTTTTGCCAAAAGCCTTTGTCAACATTTCATATGATGATATAAGCTAGATTCTAACTTATATCACAGTCACTTTACATGGTTTTGCCCTTAAGTTCTGTTTAGTATAATCACAAATCAAATCTAATCAAAGTGTATAATGTGATTTTTTTTTTAACACTAATATGATAACAAATTAAATCTAATCAAAGTGTAAAATATGATTTTTTTACACTGCATTTTACTTCTTTTATTTTTAAGCATATTACTTTTTTTTTAAATGTGTAATTCTGCATTTTTTGGTTTAAGTTTTGAAGAGAAAATTTTTTTTGTGACTTCTCTATAAGTTTTTTGTGTGACAAAGCTGTTAAAACTATGCAATATAAACTGTTCTGTTGATAACCTTGTTCTTAATCAAAACAGACACAAACTCTTCCAGGTTTAGCCTTGTTGTTAATCAAAATTAATGTTTCCACGTTACTTTGATGAAGGTAGACATATATATGAGCAAATTCAACAGTACGGTAACCTACAGGGCCAGCGCTACCTATAAAGCGCTGGCCGTAGGGGGATGCCAAAATAATGGGTTGGAAAAGCAAATTGAAAGTTTGAGGGGGGGGGGGGGGTGCAAATAGAAAGTTTGCGTTTTTAATAAGTTTTGCCTAGGGCGCTAAATAACCTGGCGCCGGCACTGGTAACCTATATTATACAGGCAAAACATGCCTAACTCTGTTTTCTATTACCTCCTTACATTTAAAAATCTCATAACCTAATCCTGTATATAATGTATGTAAAACTAAACCACCCGATCTGTACGAATATCTTAACCCAGATCATCTGTATGTGTATGCAAACATATTCTTAGAGTTTTAATTGCAATGAACCATTGACATGTCCATTGTTTTTTTGTGTAAAGCCATGTTGATTTTCTCTAGCCAACTTGTATTAACACTGGTACTTCCATACTTCTTAATCAAAATAACCCCCCTAAAAGCTTTAATATACACATTTTTATTCAGTGTATTGTATCATACTTTTTGTTTTTTAATATAGATTCTAGCTAGCTGATATATTTTAACCATAGTCAAATATTACTTTGTACCTTGTAAGCTTGTATTTTGGAAAATCATTCTGATGAGAATAGAAAGCATGCAATTTTGATTTGTTTCTAAAATGGAAAGTGTTGAGTACACTTCCAAGTATTTAATTCTTGTCAAAAATAATTGTCTCTGCTAATTTTACTGCTGAGGTCATATTTTACTCTTGATTTTATTATTGTTTATAACAAAGGAATATAAAGTCATTGTTGAAATCATAATGTGGAATTGTTGGGTTGTTGTTTTTTTTTAAAGAAATGTACAGACCTCTGAGCCTCTCTTATATATACTTGTATGCAGTTTAAGTTTGTATTTCATGAACTTAGATGTTTTCCAATGAATGTTTAAATAACCTGTAAGTTTTGTAGGGACATGAAGCTGACCAGCATCACAGGCTGGTTGGTACTTCAGATAGCAGGATAGATTTATGGTCCCAAAGCTGGTTGGTACTTCAGATAGCAGGATAGATTTATGGTCCCAAGGCTGGTTGGTACTTCAGATAGCAGGATAGATTTATGGTCCCAAGGCTGGTTGGTACTTCAGATAGCAGGATAGATTTATGGTCCCAAGGCTGGTTGGTACTTCAGATAGCAGGATAGATTTATGGTCCCAAGGCTGGTTGGTACTTCAGATAGCAGGATAGATTTATGGTCCCAAGGCTGGTTGGTACTTGAGATAGCAGGATAGATTTATGGTCCCAAGGCTGGTTGGTACTTCAGATAGCTGGATAGATTTATGGTCCCAAGGCTGGTTGGTACTTGAGATAGCAGGATAGATTTATGGTCCCAAGGCTGGTTGGTACTTGAGATAGCAGGATAGATTTATGGTCCCAAGGCTGGTTGGTACTTCAGATAGCTGGATAGATTTATGGTCCCAAGGCTGGTTGGTACTTCAGATAGCAGGATAGATTTATGGTCCCAAGGCTGGTTGGTACTTCAGATAGCAGGATAGATTTATGGTCCCAAGGCTGGTTGGTACTTCAGATAGCAGGATAGATTTATGGTCCCAAGGCTGGTTGGTACTTCAGATAGCAGGATAGATTTATGGTCCCAAGGCTGGTTGGTACTTCAGATAGCAGGATAGATTTATGGTCCCAAGGCTGGTTGGTACTTCAGATAGCAGGATAGATTTATGGTCCCAAGGCTGGTTGGTACTTCAGATAGCAGGATAGATTTATGGTCCCAAGGCTGGTTGGTACTTCAGATAGCAGGATAGATTTATGGTCCCAAAGCTGGTTGGTACTTCAGATAGCAGGATAGATTTATGGTCCCAAGGCTGGTTGGTACTTCAGATAGCAGGATAGATTTATGGTCCCAAGGCTGGTTGGTACTTGAGATAGCAGGATAGATTTATGGTCCCAAGGCTGGTTGGTACTTGAGATAGCAGGATAGATTTATGGTCCCAAGGCTGGTTGGTACTTCAGATAGCAGGATAGATTTATGGTCCCAAGGCTGGTTGGTACTTCAGATAGCAGGATAGATTTATGGTCCCAAGGCTGGTTGGTACTTCAGATAGCAGGATAGATTTATGGTCCCAAGGCTGGTTGGTACTTCAGATAGCAGGATAGATTTATAGTCCCAGCCACCTAAACCAGATCTCACAAAAATAAGACATCCCCCCCCCCTCCCCCAATATCACAATGGTCCACCTCCACCCACAATTCTAATTAAAATGTGAATGCTTTCATATTTGTTTCAATTTCAATTTAAGAAATACAAATGTTCGGTCACATTCCTTCCCTACTTCGACCATCGGCAGTAAGGGGTCATCCATTAATCAAACAGTTTTCTAAAACGCGTACTAACGTATAAAATTCGTTTTCTAACATTGCTTTTTTATAATGCAAAAGTGTGACGTCGTACCATCTGAACCCTCCTCCCCCTCATCACACATCGTCACAAAATTACGGACCCCCCTCCCCCCTACGAGTGTGACGTCATTTATGGACGACCCCTTTTGCCTTGGTATCACCCCCTAAATGGTGTCACCGGGTGCGGTCCGCCCGCCCCGCCCTCGCTACGCCTCTGCTCCTGTGGACTATAAAAGCCGAGAGAGACGAATTAAAATTTAATCAAATTGGACATAGCTGAACCGAAATCACAGTGTACCCTTATTGTCGTGAGGCCCCGGGTTAGGATGATTCGGTCGGTGACCCCACCCACGCCTTGCCCAGCTCACGGCTCTTTGAAGCCTACACGTAAACCATGAACAAACGCGTGCACAGTGTTTGACCTTCTGCATTTGTAATACACTTCCTTGTAGGTATTTAACCTATTTTTTGACACTTCAACTCACTAATGAGCGGCGACTTTCTAATTGATTTCAGCTGTTGTTTTTATTTCTAACGCACAGTCATTGTTAGTACGTTAAACGATGTAATCCTATGTTCAGGGGATTTTATTTTGTCTTCACATATGTTAAAAATGAACGCGTATTTTCTGATTAGACTGTGCATTATATTTCGACTGTCGAGTTTGCAAGTGCTCGGAATTTCTAAGCTTTATGGGTCTAGACGTAAAGCAGGTATAAACTTTTTTTTTAATTTACCCAGCATGCATTTCTATACTCCTTTTAGCATATTGTGTAAACAATGGTTTGGTAGGCTGTTTTTAATGGTAGCGCCTGTTCTTGACTACTTCCGGAATATCCCTCTTAATATTTACAAATTTTTCAGTAACCTTCAACGTAATACTTTTTTCATTGTGTTTTCCCTGATTAAGAGTAATATTTGACGGCAGCATGAATTTTATTGTAAATGTGTGAGCGAATAAATATTTATTAGAAGTTTTTTTTTTCTCGTGAATTTGCACTGGATAAGAAAACAGGCAAGACTTGTTCAAATGTAATCTGGTCTTAATCTAGCCTAGTATAAGGGAGATAACTTAATACAGTATGTGTGGCCATGATCTATTTCTTTCTTGTTTATTTTAAAAGAAACATATATTTTACATTCTTAAACTAAATAAATAAACGTAACAATGTTTTTAAGGTTTAAAAAAATGGTATCAATACTGCGGCCAAATGACCTTCTTAAAGTTTAGGCCGGCTGTAAAATCTATTATAATTCTCTTCATGGGGACCATAAGAGACACCACGCAGCTTAGCCACCTTTCAGGTGAGCTATGGTTCACCCTGAATGTATGTTTACAACAGGGGCGGAACTACAGTGCCGCCAGACCCCGCAATGCGGGGGGGGCCCACGCCATTTAGGGGCCCAGAGCCGACCATAATAAATTTGTTTATAGTTAAAAAAAAGTAAATTTTCTTTCATTTTTGACTTGATGGTTGTTTTGTAAAAAATTACCGTAGCTGCGGTTGGATTATCTTTATTCTATAGACACCACCCCACGCTCTTGTTTCTTCTTTTTCCCTTTGTTTTTAAACAACTTTGAAAGCCGAGTATTTCTCCTACAATTAAACTTATCAAAGATAAGCAAATGTTCAAACCACTTCCATGACTTTTTAAAAAAAATAGTCAAATAGGGGTGATCATAAGCTCCTTTTAATAGATTTGTACTAAACAAATTAAAAAGCAATTACTTCTCTTAATTATTATTTTTTATAAGTAACTACTAAAGAATAATATAGTAAAAAAGGGAAATGTATTAAATCAATAATATTTTAAACATTAATAATATAACTACAAGAAAAAACATAAAAATAAACATAACACGAGACACCATTACTTATACAAAGCTTTCATATTTTATATGATTTTGACCGACAGGATGATAAGAGGGCTTCTATCAAAAATTAATTAAAACTGATTTTCACAAAACACGCTAATGCACTTACACACATGACATGATGTTGAAATTTTTTTTATTGATGTCTTTCAAATTCCGAACAGGACAGCAATGAGTATCCTTTGTTTGTATTATGTGATTGCATATATATATATATATATATATATATATATATATATATATATATATATATATATATGGGGGGCCTAAAAAAAAATTTTTGCGGGGTGGCCCTTTTTTTCTAGTTCCGCCACTGGTTTACAATAGTAGAGCCGGTTCGAATAAGTGATGGCTATTAGGGGCAGATAATTTAGAATCTAGTTTTAAACGATTTGAAACCAAGGGGAGATAATAAGTTCTGCTTGATATTTTCATTGTCTTGAACGGGCGGTAACTCCATGCAAAAAAAAACAATTGTAGGCGGAAGGGAAATGACACATTGAAACACTTTTTGGCAAGGAAGTACTTAACATCATAGTTACCGCAATTGAAAAAAAAATACGATAGTTTACAAGAGGGGGAACTAGTTTACTATTTATTAAATAATTTCCCCTGCAATTTTAATAAACATTTTTTTACTCGGCTCCATGTCCTTACACTTACATCCCATAAAATATTTTCCCCCAAGAGTTTATAGTTATTAGTATGACCATAACCAAAGATTCTACCGCCCCCTTCCCCGTATGAAATAGAATTATACAAAATATAGGCTATACTTCAACCCGTGTCCGCTTTCTCCCCCCACTCCAGAAAATTTAAATCCCTCCCCATCCCCGAAAAAAAATGTTTGAAAGAAACACTGACCATGACCCTTGTTGGTCTAAACGTTAAGAAATGAATCATCTAAAAAAAATATTAAATCTTAATTTTTTTAAATTGTTGTATAGACCTAGATCTATAATTTGTATCGTTGTGTTACATTTACAATTTTCGCACCCTCACTTACACCAGTCCGCGCCGCCCGTAGAGGCGCGCTTCCCTGTTTGAACTCGCTGAGTTCGGCTTGCCTGGCTACCGGAGTTACCTTCATACACACTAGCCCACATAGTTCAATGTCGTAAAATTAGCTTCTAGACAGGCTGAACCAAACGCCCACACAGTTCAATGTCGTAAAATTAGCTTCTAGACAGGCTGAACCAAACGCCCACACAGTTCAATGTCGTAAAATTAGCTTCTAGACAGGCTGAACCAAACGCCCACACAGTTCAATGTCGTAAAATTAGCTTCTAGACAGGCTGAACCAAACGCCCACACAGTTCAATGTCGTAAAATTTGCTTTTAGACATGCTGAACCAAACGCCCACACATTTCAATGTCGTAAAATTAGCTTCTAGACAGGCTGAACCAAACGTCCACACAGTTCAATGTCGTAAAGTTAGCTTCTAGACAGACTGAACCAAACGCCTACACAGTTCAATGTCGTAAAGTTAGCCTCTAGACAGGCTGAACCAAACGTCCCCGATATGATTCAGTTACACTTAAAGGCAGGGCTTTATAACACCAAATGTAGAAAAATGCTCCAGATCCGATGGCCTGCACGTAAACGGTCAACTTCCGGCTAAAGATGAATCATGATAAGATGGAGCTGGAGTGGATACAACCCAGAGGCGTAGCGAGGGGGGTACATATGTCCCCGGGCGCCGACCCTAGGGGCGCCAAAATGGGTTGGAAAAAAATTAAAAGCTCATTTTAGCTGCAGTTTTGAATAATAAGCATTAAAAAATATTTGGGGGGGGGGGGGACGCCAAATTGAAAGTTAGTCCCCGGGGCCGGGAGGGGTCGCTACGCCCTGATACAACCTGCGTTAGCTGTTAACCTACGAAAGCATATAAAGTGAAGGGGTGTTCAGATGATACTAGATCTTAATTTACTTCTCAACTCCCTTTAATAACAAAAAAAATCGTCCATGAGTCATGAGCTAAAATTTCCCCTGTTAGATAAAATACTACCAAAAGGGTTTTCATAGACATCTGCTGAAAATGTCAAATGAGACACATCTTTGATAATGATGTTGATAGTTATATTGGTGCTGAAGAGACCCATCTGTCAATGCTGATGAGTCCATGAGTGACACACTACCTAACATGCTACAATGTTGATCATGTCAAGGGACTGCGTGGCCTAAGCGGCCGCGCATAGCTCTGACCAAACTGTCATTTCATATGTCAAGGTCACAGAAATATTTTAACTCAACTTAATACCCAACAAGCACTTAAATAAACCTTCCCACACAAAAAGAAATCACACACGGATTGCTGGAAAGTTCAAAGCCACCCTGCAACACGAAAGCGATGCCGACACGACACAAATAATTAAAGCTAAAGTCAGACTTGGACTATTTTTTTTTTTAAAACTTTTTTGGAGGTCCCGAACATCACCAGTTTCATTCGCTCATTCACCGAACCCTTCTAAATAGTTATATCGTCTGCACTGACAAAATCGGATCGTGAATTAGTTGTTAGGTGTGTGCCTTCACCTCCACCAAACGAAAAATGATAAATCTGTTCATGTTCTTATAGCAAGTACCGCTATGGTAGTTAGCATCGTATGTGCTTACATATTAAAACAATTTCTTAAATTGGAGTAGCTCAAATCTAAGTGTATTGATATATATTTTTTTCTACAACAGAAATAAATTATCATAGTATAGACATTTAATGTAGATGCGATATAGAGATTTAATGTAGATGCGATATAGAGATCTAAAATAGATGCGATCAGCGAATCATGCGTTATTCCTTATTGGGGTCTTTAAGACAACAAAGATGTGTTTTTTCCCATTATCACCTCTGCCTCTCCGAGTAACAGGCAGCCAAGTCCAATCTTTGATGCATCCAATGACGTTGTTGTCTTCCCTTTATTCCTTCCCTCTCCTGGCACAGCGCCCTGCATTATTGTTTTGGATAGGCCCAAACCATCTATGTTCACAAAGGGACCAATCGCATTGAGTGATCCTTTAAATGACCTTTTCATTTTGTTATGTGATATCTGTATGCGATCCCTAGGGGTCTAGTGTGTAGACCACATCCTGGATTTTTTTTCTGCGTTCAGGGACCAAGGCTCACATCCACACCGGAAGCCAGACATGACCAGTGACCGCAAGAGTTAAATTTGTGTGTCAATAAAAGTCTTTTGTCGCACTAAACGTTTCTTATGCACTGAGTGCTGTTGCTGTCTGGGCACTTCTTGCAAGTATTTCTTGCTTCTTTCCCTCATTAGAGAGTAATAATAGTATGGCGCCAGGGTACTTGAATGAGAGAACTACCTCCAGTCTTTGACCATATACCCGTACGTCTTCCACTATATCCAATATAGATTAATTTTGCAATCATGCAATTATTTTTATCCATAATTTAAAATATTTTTATAGATATCCAGCCAAAAGATGCCGTGGTATTTTACGGGGAAATTCTCAGGCTGAAGTGCACTTTGAGTAAGGGAAACAATGGCACTTCTACTTCAGAAATGTATTTCGAATTCTTTGCTTCGGGGACTAATTGGACCATCAAAGAAAATTTAAACGTTTCACCCACATCCATTGAAGTTGATGTCAATATAACTGAAGCCTTTGCCACAAACACCAGAGTAAATTGTCGTGGACCAACAACAACCTTAACAACGTTCATTCATGCATACGGTAAGTTGATTGTGTTAAGTAGATGGTTTTCACGCTTGAATTAAACGATGATCTTAATTTTAAACTTTTGAACTGAAGAACTAAGTTTACTATGCTTATCCCTACAATAATTATTAATTAAGCCGACAAATAATAATAAGTCAGAGTTATTCCCACGTTTTCTTTTGTTTTTCCAATCAAATCTTGCGATCGAAATTTCTGGCACTTCCCAGTTAGCTAGCGCGCTGAAATTTTCAGGGAAGCTTTGTTTTGGATGACAATAGAATATTCAATTGTTATTATTACTAAATTGATCCATGGAAACATTTTATTGATCATTTTAGACCGCTATATAATTGTACAAAAAACGTGGGGGAAAAGGGACATAACCCAGTAACTGTAATTTGATGAAAACAAGGTTCGGTACTCTCCCTCTTGTTGCTTACTGAGTAGTTCTCACGCGGTGTTTGTGTACAAACAACCAGAACGTAACAACTGGTGGCCAGTATGGGGGAGACGATATGGTCGAGTGGTTGGGTACACGATTGCTATCCCACTCGGCGCGGGTTCAAATCTATGTGTTCTAGTCAGTAACGTATTCACACAACGTGTTTTTTACGAGTTGTCTTCGTTTACCCAAAAAAAAAAGTGAAAAGATAAAATCGATAGCAAGATTTTAATGCAAACAAACAGACAAAGACTAAAAAGTAGAAAATAATCTATATATATAATTCTCTTCTTCGAGCCGTTAGAAAACAAGCTGCAAACGCTCTCCCTACCTCCCCACCCCTACATGGTTTTAGTGAGCTGTGTTCACTCTAAATGTTTACAAGCAGAGCCAACGATTTTAAACGTAGGGGGAGGGGGGGGGGTTATGGTCCTTAACGAGCTACTTATAGTGTTTTAAAGAAATATTTTCAGTTTCAGCGTTGGTACTGTCGAATTCACAAATTATGAATTATTGAAAATTAGAAACAACTAAATAGCGGCGTATGTTATGCCGCGGGCCGGCTCGTAATCATTAAAAAAGTTTTTAGAAACCCACGTTTTCTAATTGAACTAAAAAGTAGAAAATAAATGCTATACATCACAATAATGCAAGCGATCACTCTGTTTCACCATGCAGGATTCAGTGTTTCTTCCAGACTTTTTTCTCCGGGGGTGCACTTGAAATTTTCGGGGGGGGGGGGGGGCGGACACTGTCAAAAGTATATATTTTCTATATAAATTCCATTTCGTTCGGGGGGGGGGGGGGCGGTAGTTGTCTAGTTTGTTGAGTTGAGAATCATTGTTCTAAATTCTAAACAGAACTTTCTAGTTTTTAATTCTGGTGAGTGGAGGAAGTAGCCAGATTTTAATTGTGTTTGCCCTTTTGACTTTTGGAGAAGTGCTTAAAATTACCTAAATCGTATTAAGTGATAAGAAGATCTACGTTATTATTGTGACATGTAGACCTCTGGGTCGAATAACAATAATTATTAGCATGTGGGTTTGACGATATTTCTATTTATTTTAATTGTAAAAAAAAAATGGAGTGGATTTAGATTTTTTGTTTATTATAAATTTTAAACAGTAACTTTTAAACTCAATTATTTGACCAATTACTCTTTAAAAACGTTTTTGTAAATTTCAATTAAAAATGTAGGCCTAAAATTAGGCCCGGATATAGGCTAGCTAATCTTTACCATAAGTAAGAAAAAAACAGCAGTCCCAAAATAACATTATTAATGTGCGACTCTGTAATTGTAGAATGTAGCTTTAGTCAATATCTTTTTAACTTTTTTTTTAAACAGGTCCTATACAGAATGTTACAGATTTTAAGGGAATTTATTATTACAAAGACAAAATCAACGTGACTTGGAACCTAACACAGACTTATCTGAACCCTGATGTAAAAGTGTATTGCGCTCCTAGTTCTGCACCTACGCTAAAGTAAGTCTATCAGTCGTGTGTCATGGTTACCCAAGTGATGCTTTAACTAGGCTGTTTTAAAATGTTCTATTTTAAATTATATCTTGTGGAATTTTACAGTAGGCTATAGTCCCGTATTACCTAGTTGTACTGTGAGTATACATCTAAACTTTATATCATTTTTATTTACAGTTATAGCCTACCATGCAACTCGGAAACTAATGAATCCTGTATAATAGAGGAAGATAGTTACTTTGGACAACCACTTCTTTTCTTTAAGATAACTGTCAGTTTAACACATATTAATAAAAGGAACACAAGTTCTCTTGTTTTAGAACTACCTACCAGTGCCACTTCAATTCATAAGTTTATAGTAGATTATAACAGTAAGTGATTTATCAACTTTAATATATTGTCTACATTATTTTAATCACTAGTTTGTAGTTACAGCATTAACTCTTAGTAAGGAATTAATATAGGACGAAATAACTTATGTCTGAATTATTTTAAACTCAGGTTTTGTGGTATAATGTCAAGAAATATATTTTAAAAACCTTAAAATTTACATTTATTAACAGAGATGTGAAAATCATTTTGCACCTCGCCCCCCCCCCCCCCCCCCCCCCATCTTACCTTCAAATATAGGAGATCTGCTTTTTATTTGTCATTTGTAATTATATTGCTTTGAAATAAATGGTATTTATTTTCCTGCTATACAATGAGTTTGGGAATAGTTAACTTTTCTTTTCCTTCCCATTTTTTATGACCCAGTATTGTCACCAGAAATATAACACAGCCTACTTTTATTTGTAGTCAAATCTGGCCCCACAGAAGACTTAGCCATAACCCATAAGACGAGCACATGTCTCAACTTTACCTGGAGAAATCCTGTGTATTTTGATCACTGCACTGGTTGTTCCAAGTTTTACCAAGTTGAGTTTAAGAGTGAGGACAGCTGGATGGTTAGTGGCTTGCTAGGTGTTTTGTTCTTTTATAATTCTCACACAGCTTTAGAAGCTACCAGAGATTATAAAAAGGCATTTTCCTTCTGAAAATAGTTTGAATCAATATAGACCTAAAGGTGAAAGTTTTTAAAATTAATCTATAGCGAAATTGGACCATAAAAAATTTGGCCTATAATAAATTTTAAGTGTAACAATCGTTGTTCATTATCAAGTAAACTTAATTTTTAAATTCTTTTTTTTTTAAATTAACTGAGTCAAAAGAAAACCAGAATAATATGTCTAGATCTGTGTATTTTTTAAAATTAGGCCTTTATATATGACAAATATGAAAATCATGTCTAAATAAAATAAAAAATATTTTCAAGTGTTTAATAACAGTATAACAGCTACCACTTTTCTTTAAAAAGAAAACAGAGCATCATATTTTAGTGCATGCACTTGAAAGTTAAAGCTTTAATTATTTCAATCCATGATCCTTTTGATTATTTATATATTACCTACATCCTGAGAGTTTATTGAAAGGAAATTTTCTTTTTTGCATTATAATTGATTATTTAAATGACATTTTGTATAGAGAGAAAACTCCACCACCCTGGCACCATACCCACAAGCAAACTCCTCTATTGCACTGTGTCACCTGAAACCCTTCACTACATACACATTAAGATTTCAAGTCAAAGGGCAGATTCAACAGCCATGGAGTGATTGGACCTACATCACTGGATCTACAAATGAAGACAGTTGGTTTTCATTTATTATTTTCTTCTATAATTTTGTCAACACAGAATTAAAGAAATGACAAGTATCCAACCTTATTCAGCAAATAACAGTCTCACAATTTCATTACAGGACCTTTGTATGGCCCTAACTTGACAGAAACCAGCTTTTATGAGGAGAAATGTACAGATTTAAATGAAAGAAAAGTCTACATTTATTGGCAGGTTGTACATATTTGTAACTATCTGTATGAAATAAAACCATTTTAAATTTTACAGGAAAAAATTGTCAATTTCCTAAAAACATGGTCTTTATTCTACTATAGGAACCAACTGCTAGCTTACTACAAGGTGTCTTAACTTACTATGAAGTAGAGATTAATAATGCAACAGATCTGTTGAGAAAAGGATCCAACTACTATATAGCAGACCTTAACTGTGAAACTGATTACAATATATCTATATATGCAGCTACCAAAGTTGGCAAATCTCTACAGCCATCATCCATTTTCATACCTGCTCATAGTAAAGGTACGTTCACTTTATCAGATTCTCACTTAGGTTACAAGAAAACCCTATCTAAAGTAAAATCTCTTGCAGCAGTGATAAAAGACTTGCAGTTTAAAGTAGAGGAGAAATTTGACATTCAACTCTCCAGCACTGTAAAGAATATTTCAGCCACATGGGACACAAGCAGTGCAGATCAATTTGAAGTCCTGGAATTTTACTATTGTGAGGAGTACTATATAACAAACACTTGTTTTGTAAGTATTAAAGTATCTATGAAGTATGTTACAAATCTATATGGTAAGAATTAGCATGCCAAACTTTTCTTTTATCAGTATTAAAAAATCAGACAGAAATAATTGTTCAATTATGATGTTTAAGTTGAGAATCCATCCTCCAAATGTTTAATTATGACAACATTTAGAATTTTTTGAATGTACATTAAAGTAATGATATACTTAATGACATCATTCTTTAGGATGACCTCAAAACTGTGGCTGTGAATTTTAGTTCTGGTTCTCTCGAACTCCTAAACATGAACATAAAAATAAACTTGTTTGGCTATGCACTAAAATACCAAGATAAAAGTGTTGAGGGAATTCACTGGACTGATTGTGTTTACCGTGCTGATGTTGGTAATGTCATTTTTAAAAGAAATATTTTTGTTTTTAATTTTACTATTTTATTGCGTCTTATTTAGCTATAATTTTATGTGAAATATAAATTCCCATGTTGTCTGGCCTGTAGAGCCCAAAGCCCCTTCACTATTTAATGTAGTTATCATTGAAATATAACTTCCCATGTTGTCTGTAGAGCCTAAAGCCCCTTCAGGATTCCAAGTGAACCCAGGAGATGTGGGTTCACTGACCTTGACATGGAGATCAGAGCCCTGTAGTAAAGACACTAAGACCCTCATTCTCTACTATCACATCAGTATTTGCTCTAGGCCTGAGTTCAATGCGGAATCATGCACTAGTAAGTCAATCATATATCTTCATTATTTAAGTGATCTAATTTTTAGAGGACAGTTCATGATCTTATTCAAGCTAGAAGTAAATGTTACAAGGAAAATTATACTATAAGTTGATCTTATCCAAGTTTTTTTCCCCTCAAGGGGCAACTGTAAACAGCTACACTACCAACTTTACAGCCTATGACCTTGAAGATAACCAGCAGTACACAGTTTACATCTGGGCCCAATCTCATCTCAGAACAGGGCCAAAACTTAGCAGCACAGCCACAACTAGAAAGAATGGTACGGGTTTCTTTTTATAAGAATTAAGATCAATGTTAAAAATTATGAATTTGTATACCAGTTTTGTAAACATTGATTTTCAGTATGATCTATAATTATATAACATCAAGTACAATCTATGTAAAAGATATGTATTATGATCTCTATATGACATATCAAGTATGATCTATATATGATATATCCAGTACAATATATATATGACATATCTAATATGATCTGTAAATGACATCTAGTATGATCTATATATAGCATATCTAGTATGACCTATATATAACATCTAGTACACGATCAATAATGTTGCATAGTTGGTAACGTGTCACTCATTGACTCATCAGTATTGACACAAGAGTCTTTTCAGCATTTCATTAGTATAACTATCAACATCATTATCAAAGATGTTGGTATCATTTGACATTCTCAGCAGATGTCCCTGAATACCCTTTAGGTAGTTTTTTACCTAACAGGAGAAATTTTAGCTTAAGCTCACGGAAGAGTTGCAGTATTTTATAACTAACATGACCGACAACTCCTTGGTGCTTTTTCCCCAAAGATTTTTTTGGATAAAGGGAAGTAAAAAATAATGATCTAGTATCAATGAAGTAGTGCTAGAGTTAAGTCCCTTGTTTGCACCAGTTGGGATGTTTAATGCTAGCGAGTTTGTGATTTCTGAATGAGCATTAAGTTTATGTGATTCTCCATGTGTAAATAGGTTTAGTTTCTTAATAAAATTACATGTAACATTGTTGCGAAAAAACAAAGAAAACAATAAAACTGTTTTCAATGAGGCTAGACACATTTAATTCCACTACATTTTAGCATTATTCTTAAACACATTTTTATGTATAAACGTTTATCTTAGGCCTTCTATATTTTCAACAGAAAAAAGAGCGATAACCAAGATTTTCTCAACTGCAATGTTTGTTTGTATCTTTGGATTCAGCTTTGTTTGTATTTTAGCCTTGACATACATGTATGTTCACTGTGCTTAATATGTTAATAAATATAAGCCACAATTAAATAATTCTAAAGGAGATTCTCTTGACAGCAATTTGAACTTTTTATGTGAAATAATTTTGTTTCAGTAAATGTTTCCAGTCTAAGAAGCACATTATGACCTTGACAGAGGCAGAGTGGATACCCTCATCAAATGTAAGGTTTTCTTTTTTACTAACAACACCCCTCATCAAATGTAATGTTTTCTTTTTTTACTAACAACACCCCTCATCAAATGTAATGTTTTCTTTTTTTACTAACAACATGCCTCATCAAATGTAATGTTTTCTTTTTTTACTAACAACACCCCTCATCAAATGTAATGTTTTCTTTTACTAACAACACCCCTCATCAAATGTAATGGTTTTTATTAACAACACCCTTCATGAAAAGTGATGTTGTTTGGTTTTACTAGCAAACAGGATTCAGGAATGATGTGAAAATAAAGCTAATATGTCTTTAGTTATTTTTGTGAAAATAGGAGGCAGTTGCTGACCTTACATTTAATTTTTCTGCAGGATCAGTGGTTGACTGATGTTTACTCTGAAGATCAGGCAATTGTGTCTACACAGTTAGAGAACCAAGCAATTGTGTCTACACATTTAGAGGAGCAAGCAATGGTGTCTACACAGCTAGACGAGCAAGCAAATCTGTCTACACATTTGGAAAAACATGCAATAATGTCAACACAATCAGAAATTGAACCAATTGTGTATACATTAATACAACACCAAGCAATTGTTTCCGCACAATTAGAAAACCATGCAATAACGTCAACACATTTAGAAAACCATGAAATTGTGTATACACAATTGAGAAATCCAGCAGCTTTGTCTACACAATTAGACAACCAAATGACTGTGTCAGCTGAGTTTGAAAATAAAAAAACAACACCAGTACTGATTAATGTTGAGGAAAACATAACAAAACCAGCAGAGTATGTCAATAAGGACATTGTAGACCAAACAGTGGCAGATGAAACAGTGAAACAACCCAAACCCTCAAGTCATGCCTGTGACCCAGGGGGTGACTCTAACCATCTAAATTATCTTAACAACTCTGAAGGGGTGAACAGGCAAGTAAAAGAATATATAAGAATGGCTCACCATGGTGACACAAATCTGGCAACAATAGATCTGCAACTTTTTAGTCCAAGAATGACAACTTTCAGCTTTGATATGTCTAGGCATCCATTACATGAAGTTGATGTGTTTTATATCAAAGAGGATATCAGGCATAAAAATTTCAGATATGTTAGCAGAAATGTTACCAACAGAGAAAATCGTGACATGGCTCAGATACAAACTGAGCAAGAAGAAGAAATAAATTCTGGGCAGTCAGTTCCAGTATATGTTAGTATAAACTCTACTTCACCTGACATGGATGCTTTTTGTAACAGGAACAATAGACTACATCTGATTTCAGACCAGTTTAGTCTTACTTCAAAAACTGATCGGCCAGTTTTGGAATATGTTAGTGCAAACTTTGATATGACTGAAACTAATGTGTGTTGTAGCAAAACTAATGGACTACATAAGGTTTCAGACAAATGTGATCTTCATTCATTGGAGAGTGATGTAAGCACATCAGCACAGAGTGACTCCTACACAACAGTCAGCAGTGTGGAGGAGTTTGATTCTCTGCCAGAAGACGACAAAGGACCAGACCCACAGCATCGTTTTACAACAGAAGACACTTTCAACCCAAATACTTCCTCACATGTCATAGATAATGAAGGGCTAGACAGATTGCGTAGTTTTAAAACAGAGGACACACTCAACCCAAATACTTCCTTACATGTAATAGATAATGAAGGAACGGACTCACTGCATGATTTTAAAACAGAAGATGTTTTCAACTTAAATACTTCCTCACATGTTATAGATAATGAAGGGCTAGACAGATTAAGTGATTTCAAAACAGGGGACACATTCAACTCAAATACTTCCTCCTATGTCATAGATAATGAAGAACCGGACCCACTGCATAATTTTAAAACAGAAGATGTATTCAACTCAAATACTTGCTCACACATAATGGAAAATTTCCCTCCTTCCAGTGAGGTGAACTCAAATTTGAACTGGTACTACAGACTGAATCTTCTGAGACATGTGCTGGAAGATTGCTAGGGTCGGAGCAGAGGCGTAGTGAACTATTCCGGGGCCTGGGGCAGACTATCAATTTCTCGCCCCCCTCCCTCCCATTTCTATATATAGTTATTCCTGTCAGGGAAAAAGTGTCCCCCAACCCCCAGTTGGAAAGGTTTGTGGCACTTCTTACCAGTAACTATCCCTTAACATTTTCTATTTTGGTGCTACAAAATTTATATAGAAAACAGTGTGTAAAGCCATGTAATCATTTATTTTCGTAACTTTGACTGTGTATAATTCAATACCAGCTTAAAATGAGCTTTTAAATTAATTCATCTACTGCTTTTGGTGCCCCCTTAGGGTTGGCGCCTGGGGCGGCCGCCACACCCACCCTCCCCTAGCTACACCAATGGGTTAGGGTCAACTATTTTTTTTTTATAGTTGTGCATGTAATTTTCAATAACACTAAGTCATAATGTATTAAGCATGTTACTTTAATTTTGACTCCCATCAGCCCTTATGGGTGTTAATAGTGATTTATGTCAATTGAAGTATGTTGAAATTATTGCATGACATTTGCATGCTAATTATATTATTACAACATTAGTCTGAAAAGATTTCTTCTATATATATATATATACATATATATATATATATATATATATATATATATATATATATATATATATAAATATATATATATATATATATATATATATATATATATATATATATATATATATATATATATATATATATATATATATATATATATATATATATATATATATATATATATATATATATATATATATATATATATATATATATATATATATATATATATATATATATATATATATTACTGTTAATTTTTAGAGAATAAATTACACTTTTTTCTTAATGTTAATTATTATTGAATAAATATTCTTTGAATTATTTTAACATGAGCTTTTGTCTCCTGGGTCAGTGTTAACTGTTTGTTTACTGTGTCCCAGTGTTGTTTACAAAGACTTTTGTCTTCTCAGTCATCATAGTGTTGCTAAGAAAATTAGGCTCTAAGGGCCTATACTTTAAGTTTGATATTTGTTAACATGGGATGGGCTTTTGTGTAGCTCTGTTTCTTGTGAAAATATTTTAATACAACCATGTTAAATTATTGCATCTAGGCTATTACTAGTATTAGTCCTACGTGAAAGATAAGATAAGGAATTAATGGCTAATCTAACATTAATACAATTAAATATTTAATCAAACGCATTCGTGTGTAGCTTACACTACCCTTTTCAATAAGCGATTGTATTATTGACGCTGTCTCTAACAAGAAATGTAAACTTTTAAGAACTGTTAACGGGCTTCTTTTCAAATGTCTTTTAATTCCCGTTCTTCATGAAGATTTTCATAAACCTAATACGTTGTTGAAAATCCAAGGGAAGCAACTGCTCGAATACTAAAAAAAAACCAAGAGAGACTAGCGGGAAACCCCTATTTTAAGGCCAAGGGCACTTTATCAGACGTAAACAGGCGCTTGGGTGATGTTGTTACACACGGACACAGCACGCCAGTGAACTTGTCTCACCTCTCGTGTGGAGATCACCGTGTACGGCCGTGTCCAAGTTTTAACGTGTGCTGCTGCCGTTATGTGGTGTTCGCAGAGTGGGATAACTGTTAAACACCGGCTAGGATTAGAGTTAAAGCTACTCAAGGCCCTATTGACAAGTTTTGTATTGGAACTAGATGTAGTTAGATCTAGAATCTAGATTAGATCTATTGGACTGGTCACTGTAGTCTGATTGTAGGCCTATAATAAAGGAAAGGTATGTTTATTCTTATTTAAATATTATTTTTAAAATATAGGCCTACTTTAAATAGTAAATAATAGCCATAGGGCCCAATAAATAATAAATAGGCCTAGATCTATAGTCTATACAATTATTAAAATAAATCTTATCAAACCACTATCTTAGTATATATTATTTCAATTAGGCTACGTTAAAACGTTATAATTACTAATTAGGCTATATATTATCTATTGCTAATTTTAATATCATCTAAACCTATGTTTTTAAATGGACTATTCAGTTACATTATTCTTCACCCTATAATAAGGCCTATACTTAATTTAACTAATAGGTAATAGCTATAGATGTAGATTCTAGGCTGAATCATCTAAAGAATTCTAATGTCGCTAATCTCTAAAGACGGTGTTCAAAAAGACTACATTTATTAGTCATTTTAACGCTCTGCTCGATTTATATGGGGAAAGGGGGGGGGGGGTGGTATTGTTAAGGTAGGCTAAAGAAACACCATACATTGATTACTAGTTCTATACTATGCAGATCTAGGCCTTAATCATAATTAGCCTGAAAAATACTAATACATAAAAAGGCCGATGTCTGTTAAATAATAGCCTAAATAATTTGTCCACAGGTCGACTTAATGACGTGTAGTGTATTTTTTAAGTATTATCATATTATGACTAACTGAAATAGAGGACGTACTTGGGGTAAACGCACTACTTGTAAACTTGTATTGTAGGCCTATTGTAGAGTCTTGGAGGCAATCCAATATTACCCAACAAAACACGTGATATTCACTGACCCAACCCCATGTGTGAGTTGACCTGTGTCCATCTTACACTGATCATTAATTTGTTTTAAATGAATCAAACCCCGACTTCTCCAACTATTTATTTTCGCGCATCAGAACACGGTTATCATAAATGGTTGCTAAGCTAGGGGGATGAGAATGAGTAAAGGTTTGCTGTTAATGGATTAGCCTACTGGATAGCCGATTAAGTATCAAAATATGGCTGTACTTCAATGTTAGTGTGGTTTGACTAGAGGACTTTCTACTGATTGTTTTATTTACACAGACCAGACTGGTAGTTTTTTTTAACTATATATAGCTTTGAAAATATTTTTTTTCTGTACTCGTGTCTGGGGAAAAAAACGGTGACCCAGTTAGGGTGTAACAAGACCCGGGAAGAACAATGGGAAGGTTTGACGGGGGTGGGGGGGGGGGGGTGGTTGTGATGTCGTAACTGCTTTGTCATGGCGAAACAAAGGGTACCGTTTCTTCGGTATCGCTCAGTACATTACATGGGCTAGATGTATTTTAAAGACGAACAAATGGGCAACAATGGCTTACAATAAAAAAAAATTACATCTGTTTTGAAAAGTTTCGTTTCGTTTTAATTTTTTTTTTTTTAATGTTTCTTGTCAGCATGTAGTCATAATATATTTTCGTAATGCGGTGTCTAAATATAGAAAACAATGACACACCCCATCCAACCCTAAACTTCAGCAGCAGACTTCACGTCTGGTGTTCCTCGTCTATCAACACAGTTGCACGCCTTTCACTATCATGGGTGTGTCATGTGTGTGTGTTCACTAACTCTACCCACTACTAGAGTTATGAGTAGCCTCCCATTGACCGGCTTATGCAGTAATTTAAAAAAAAAATTACGCTAGGATGGCACCATTCAGACTGTGTGGATATAGCCTAATCAAATAAATTACGGGAAAAAAAATTCAATTTAAAAATTCCCATACTAAAAAGCGTGCAAATTAACCAATTTTTTCATGTTTAAATATTGTTTTCAATTATTCAAACAATTTTATATTTTAGCATTTTCAAAACTCTACATGTTGACTTATTTCCAATTTGAATAGCATGCAAAATATAAATGTACATTATATTGACACAAAACGTATGTTAATTCGTTGCCTTTAAAACGCACTAAAATAATTGTCTTATAGACATATAGACCCTATAAGCTTACTCTCGTTGGTCTCTTAAATTGATAGCATGTTTATTTTCCACGAAAAGCTCTCCCGGAAAATTTACGTCAACGATTCACGCTTTTACTCCATAATCTCTACACAAAAATCTAGCTTGTAATTTTAGATTCACTTGCTCGTCGATGGCGCTAATGTTGGCTTTATTTGGGCCTATATTTTAACTTTCTCCGCACTGAGGAATCAAGTACAAAGTCAATATTGGCAGTGGTTTCAAAGACTGAACGATATTTTAAAAGGTTGTTTTTCAACATTCTTAAACTGTTTCGGACTGCGGGTCTGCTGGTCACAGAAGTGTCCAGGAACTAAAATGGCTGGAGTGATCTGCTAAGTGGTCCTTAAAATGATAAACATTTTAAACTGGGTCACATTGTTGCGGATACAGATCATTTGAAGAGAGTAGGACTTCTGCATTGATGAATATAGGGGTACATGACATCAGGGCAAGGCATTTTTCAGTGTGCATATATATATATATATATATATATATATATATATATATATATATATATATATATATATATATATATATATATATATATATATATATATATATACTCTTAAAATCCACAATTATCCACTCCACACGAGCTTCTACCCTCCTCCCCCCCCCCCCCCGATTCCCTCCACTTGATGTGTGACTTCGTTTCCCGACAAACCATCGACGTTTTCTTATATTTATATTCACGATCGGCCTATGAAAAATTATGTTTTAAATGACCATGAGTCTTGTCTACCACGACACATGTACGTAGTGTAGAGTAGTATAGAGACAACTGTTCTGGTCTGGCTTGTTATCTACGGTCGTGTAGAGTAGTATAGAGACAACTGTTCTGGTCTGGCTTGTTATCTACGGTCGTGGTAGAGTAGTATAGAGACAACTGTTCTGGTCTGGCTTGTTATCTACGGTCGTGTAGAGTAGTATAGAGACAACTGTTCTGGTCTGGCTTGTTATCTACGGTCGTATCATAGGGGCACAACAGGAAGAAAATAATTGTCAGCTTAAAAAAGCTTTCAAAGTCACAACGCTTAGGGGGGGAGGGGGATAGAAGAGCGGCGTGAAGTCCAGTTACAGCACGATGGGTGGGGGGGGGGGGGGGGGGGATAGAAGACCAGACACTGACCATAGACATATAGGCCTAACAAGTGTGAACTAAACTTGTAAAGAAAATGTCCCCAATGTAAACATAACAGCGTTAGTTAGGTATTGTGTGACTAAAACTACACCTGTAAAATATATGTACCTAGTAATGTAAACATAAGACAGCGTTGTGAATAGTGTGAGACCCGTTGAGTGAGTTGTGTACACGGTGTTTGTTTGTGAACCATGCATTTTGCAACCCGAACCCACTAGCTGGTCAAACATAGATCTACCTGCGGACTGTTGATCGTGTACGTGTTGACAGGTGAAAATTAACTGTTCTATTTGCGGTGTAGACTAATCCTGATGTATTGTTGGGGGCGGGGGTGTGTATTAAGACACAGTAGGCATTGACCAATATTAGATTCAAATATAGCCTTACAGTAACACACTGGTGCTTCTTTATCAACCGACATGCCTATATATCATTATGGCTGCTAGACTACACCAGATAATGGAAAAAAATCGATCGCCAGCTAAGGCTTAACACTTTTTTAAAAAGGCATATTGTGCTGGTATATCACCCCAAGCGAAGGTTAAACCTAAATTAAAAACCGTATTGTGATGGCACATCACCCCCAACAAATGTAAAGCCTAACTAAAAGTCATATTGTTACGACTAGTCCAGCTACAATGTGATAGTGCAGT